ATTTCATGCCCCAAATACAAGGTCAGGATTGTGTCTCCCTCATCACTGCCCAGCCACCGTCCAAACGTGAGGTGTGCATTCTTGTACAACGCAGTGGTATGGTGAGATATGCGTATAATTTATAGAAATAAATTAAAATATAGATTACCTATCAGAACGCTCACTGTGGCTTTGCCAGGGGGGGAGGCTGCTCAGAAAGGTATGCGACCGGTAGAGTTAGGACACGGCGTTGTCTCTGAGGACGAGTGGCAGACGCGGAGGAGAGCGGTCAGGGCCGGTCGGAGGACAGAGCAGCGATCGGAGGTAATCACCGGCGACCCTGAGGGGAAGGCCTCCGACCAGGGAACTGCAGTCCTGCCTCGCCGCACCTCCGGGTTTGCCCTGGGTGGCCCGGGCCACCATCAGCCGTGCTACTTGGGGGTTCGGGGCCTCACCACGGACTCCCACGTGCCCGAAGCCAACATCGCCGCCACGCCGCGCCCTGGGGTTCCTTGGACAAGCCTCCTGCGCCCTCGTCTCCCGCCCGTGAGCCTGGGCACCCTGCCCTGGGCCAGAGGATGGAGAGCGCCTGGCCTTCCAGTCACCCTGTGCAGCAGTGCAGGCAGTGGGCAGGGACAAGTGCCCCCTTCTTGTGTGTTAATTTTTTAAAAAGAAAAATGAGACAAAGGAAAAGAAAAGAAACAGGAACACAAACAAAAACCCTATCTGGAGCGTTTGGTTAGTTCTGAGAGTCGGGACTGGGGAATGTCCATGGAGTGCGCTGAGGGAAACCTTCACTGTGAAGGGGAACGGAGAAGCGATTGTCAGGGCAGAGAAGGCGCTGCCGTCCAGGGCTCTGTTCCAGGACAGCCGCGTCTTCGACAAGTGGTCCTGGGATTTCAACCTCAGAAAGGCCGGCGGCCGTGGTACCAGCCATAGCCACCCCCCCGTGCCTCCCGCCGTGAGCTTCACCGAGCGATGGAAGCGTTTGCCCTGATTGACTCGCAGCCACAACGCTGAGCCATCTAACAATCCAGTGAGCACAGCAGCGATGGCCACGCCTCCCTCCCAGAGGTTCATCTCTCCGAGACCTGGGGAGGCCACAGGGGCCAGAGCACGTTCCTGTGGAGCCTACTGTTGCGTTTCTTTATTGTGCATTCCTGGTGGTGGTGTTTCAGGACATAAAGAAGTAACTTAGACTTTTACCAGGAGGACCCAAAAAATCAAGGAGTACTGTGAGGGGTTTTTTCTGAGTGGCAGAGAGCTCATTGGCACCCATATGTTTAAAATAAAGCTCACTTGCAGTATACTTTTCCATGAAATTCTCACAGGAAAAGTGCAGTCAGCACAGGAGCTTTACCTTTTCAACAGCAGTAACCCCACGCCTTCAGCAGTAACCTCCAACGGCCACCCATTACTGATCGATTCCAGAACCGCCTCATGCTGTAATAATATGCCAACTTAATTTCATTATTAAGATTTTTTTTCAAATAAATGGAAGTTGAACGAGAAGAACAGATGTTTTTAAATTACATCTTTAAAATATTCTCTATGTTACTTATATGCTAAGACATAAATAACACTAGAGGAGACTTTCAGAATATAATCATTTAAAATCCTCAGTATCTCTGGAATTTCTACAAAGTCAACAACATAAGAATGAAGGGTTAGCCGGTAAGCAAGCCATTTGTTTATCTGACAAATATTTATCAAGCGATATTGATCAGCAGGTTGTGTTCCAGGTACTCACAGGCCACGGCAAGCACCACGGAGAGTCTGGTCCCCTGCTCACAGCGGACAGCCCTGGGCCTCGGGGTGAAGAGCCTGCGGATCCCAGAGGGATCCACTCCTTCCGTTCACAGCTGCCAGGAGCCAGCACCTCCCACGTGCAGGCTGGCATCACAGGAACTCGGAGCACACATGCAATGTGACATGAAGCATGATGGAGAAATCCGGGTACAGTCAGATAAAAAAGATCACGAGCCAGTGGGTGGCTGAGTCGGTATTAAAACTCTCGTTTGTCGGCCAAAACCAGTTTGGCTCAGTGGATAGAGCATTGGCCTGCGGACTGAAAAGTCCCAGGTTCGATTCCGATCAAGGGCATGTACCTTGGTTGCAGGCACATCCCCAGCAGGGGGTGTGCAGGAAGCAGCTGATTGATGATTCTCTCTCATCAATGTTTCTGACTCTCTATCCCTCTCTCTTCCTCTCTGTGAAAAATCAATAAAATATATATTTTTTTAAATTAAAACTCCCATTTCTCCAATGCCCGTGTGTGCTCCTCCCTTAGTTCCTTGGTCGGCAAACCGCTGCTCGGGAGCCACATGCAGCTCTTTGGCCCCTGGAGGGTGGCTCTTCCACAAAATACCACGGCCTGGGAGAGTCTATGTTGAAGAAGTGACATTAGAAGAAGTTTAAGTTTAAAAAATGTGGCTCTCAAAAGAAATGTCAATGGTTGTACTGTTGATATTAGCTCTGTTGACTAATGAGTTTGCCAACCACTGCGCTAAACTAAAGCCATAGAAAGGTAAGTAGGTTCAGCTGGTCTCCATGATGGCCAGACGCACCAATGAAGACTCCAGCTAATCTAAGTAACCTGATAAAAATGCACAACCCCTCTAACCTGATTCCGTGTGGCATCACTTCACATCTGTCTCATTTATGCAAAGCAGTCACAGAAAACATGGTCAGAAAAAACAGCTAGTGCTCTAAAAGAAAGATATATGTTAGATTTTGCTTCACTCACACTTCACCCCATTTAGGGTTTTAAAAAATAAGCTAATATATACAATGTCTAGATCCCATGGAAATTAAAGACAACGTGAATGTGAGAAGAACTTCCTTTGATTCAATCTGCTTTTCTGAACAGATAGAAAACTACGTTTATCTTCTGGATTCCCCAGGTGTCTAGTCCAGAGAGGGTTGTACAGCTCACACGCAGAAAGGAGAAGAAACCAGGCCTTCCTCTCACATCCCTGCTTATTGTAGACTTCAGCTGTGTTACCAACCTTTCAAACCTCAAATCCGGTGACACCAATAAAGCACTGGTGCTGGGCTCATTAGTATCTAATGAATAACAGATTAGCCGGCCTGGGTTTTTCGTTTATGCTCTCTCCTCCCATGCACATCACGGAGCTACACAAACACAGCTCCGTGTGGCAGCCAGCTCTGCAGCGGGAACCGGAAATGGGCTTAGCACACCCAATGGCAGATCTATGTCCTCTGCCGCTAGCGGCCATCACACAGGACAGCGCGGCCCCCCAGGCTTCTCCCTCCGTCTCCTCCGAGCCGGAGTCACGTCAGCGCAGACAGCGCTCCGAGGGGCGTGAAGCCACTCGTTTTCCCCGATCTGCTTCTCCCAGGAACATCCGGTGCAGCGGAGGCCGGGTTCCTCAAACCAAAGCGGAACAGGACCCAGCCCCCCAGCCTCACTCTTTCCAGACACAACTAGGAAGCGGCTGCCAAGCCATGTCACAGTTTTCTTTTAATAACATCCATTGTCTAGTCAGCTCTTCCCGATTCCTTAGTGGAGCTCTGCAGCTCTGAAACACGATTTAGTTCTACATGATTTCTTTTTTCCTGAGTGTGAACAGATAGGACATATTTTATTGTAGCTTCTTAAGATGGGCTTATATTTAGTGTATTTTTAAATTACCTGACTCAGGGAAATTGCTCCTCAGAAACGGTGCTTTTTATTGCGTTCTCTCAACAGCTCGAAATGACAGCACATTGAAACGTGCTCCCTCTCCTTTTCATTTTGGTTTATTTTCTCGTTAAGAGTCACGAGGGTGTTGTTCGCGTATTTGCATTTCTTTTCTGATATAAAACTCAGATCTGCACTGTGCCACCGACGGGCATGCAATCCCACTGTTCTCACAGCGTCTGGACACAAACCTTGATGTCATCCTTAACCTCTCTCTCTCTCTCTCTCTCTCTCTCTCTCTCTCTCTCTCTCTCTTTCCCCAACCCTTCCCCCTCATAAATATAATTTTATTGATTTCAGAGAGGAAGGGAGGGAGAGGGAGATAAAAACATCAATGATGAGAATCACTGATCAGCTGCCTCCTGCACGCCCCACACTGGGGATGGAGCCTGCCACCCGGGCCTGTTCCCCGACGGAACAGAACCCTGACCTCCTGGTTCATAGGTCAACGATGCTCAACCACTGAGCCACGCCGGCGGCCCTTTATGTCTCTCTTACACACCTTATATCCCATCAATCAGGACATCCACTGACTCTAACCAAACACGCGCCCAGAACCCTACCATGTCTGGTCTCGCCTGCCAAGAGGCACCTTCCTCGTCACCACCACTCCACACCCCACAGGAAACGGGCAGCGCCAGGCCATTCCGCACAGAAACTGGAGGCCCAGCTCCATGACGGCCGGGGAGTCGCCCTGCATAAATCCCGGCCAAAGGGCGGAGAGTAGAAAGCAAAGGAGGCCGAGGAGGAGAGCTAGCAGGAAAAGAGGGAGACCATGGGAAGGAGGATGAGGGAGGCAGCATCCCCACCAGGAAGCCAGTGGACGGACATTATGTGAGGCCCGCATGGGAGGGCGGGGAGCCTGGGGTGAGTGTGGTCACTGTCTGTGAGGCACCAGGGAGCAGGCCTCTGGTCCTGGAACAGGGGGTGCAATCTCTCCTGGGTTTTTGTTTGTTTTCTGGACTCATAAACCAGAAGGAAGTAGCCTGCTCGGCACCAGCAAAGCCGCGTGTGTTGTGATTTGGGGTTTGGTCTTACTGTCGGTTTCGTGTTGGTTTCAGAGAGAAATGATATTTCAACAGAGGAACCCTAGACCAGGCCCTACAACTGACCGATTCCCCCGACTCCGGGTGCTCAGGCTTCACGCTTGAGGGGCCAGCTCATGAGGTTCTGCCCGTTGGGGCTTCCACATTCTGACTTGGAACTCTGCAACAGTGCGGCCCTGGCAACGGGACCCGGGCCACTCCTGGGCCCATCGGGGATCTGGCCACTCCTGGGCCCATTGGGACAAGGACGAGACGGCGAAGGCTGGGCTACGATGGAGCTGTACCTCAACTCCTGCTCTAAGGCAGCCAAGGCCACCTCGGCCAAGACGGCCGCCAGCAGCCTGGCTGACGAGGTGAGGGCAGGGCCTGGGTGTAGACGGGGCGGGGAGAGCCCCCCCAAGGGCCCCACTGGTAACCGGGCACGAGGGATGCCCTCTTGGGGCTGGGCGTCAGCTGCCACTGGGGGTGGGGGACCCCAGGCCCTCTGAGCTGTCTGCAGGGAGAGCCCTCGCCCTGGCTGTGTGGCTCTCCGTTCCTCTGGTTACGGTCAGGGTGGGCAGGCCTCGGCCACGGAAACACAGCCTCACACACAGAGCTGTCCACCCAGAGTGTGTGAAACCACCAGCTCTCACACTGCGTTCTTCCTGCAAAATGGAAAACAGAGAGGAACACAAAACACACGTCTGGGAGACGGGCACTCCGTGCAGTCCCGTGATGGTAGTGATGGGATCACGGTGTCTGCCTGTGTCCAATCCCATGGGGTCATACACATCACGTACGCGCAGGTCTCGTGTGCCTGCTGCACCCCAAGAAAGCTGTTCAACGGCAAGAGGCACCTCCCTCCGCCCGACGCCGAGTCTCAGGAACGTCCCAGCCTGGGCCTTCCTGCGTGCGAGAGGCCTGGCCCCGGCGGTGTAACCGGGGGAGGGTGGGGATTCCCGCTCCCACACGCCTCCCGGCACCGGACGGAAAGGCAGGACAGCAGGAGGAGATCCTCGCACAGAGGACTCGTTCCAGTGAAAACTGCCGTGGGATCTAAAGGAAATTGTTACAGTTTATAGATGAGTCTGGCAGAGTTCAAGAATCAGAGGTTAAAAGAGCAAAATCAGATCAGTCCTATTTTTATTGACAGGAGTTTAGTTTCTGTTTTTACATACGAGATATAAACGCTGGGGGGGGAGGGGGAGGGTGAATCTAGCAGAAAATGCCTGTGATCTTTACAATGTAAACTGCATGTCGAGAAGGACAGGGACTAAGGAGGATGTGACACGTGGAGGGGAAAGGCAGATACGGGTCCGTGTGGGACATGGAGGCCAAAGCCGTTACATTTCATCGGCCAGGCGCCGGTCTCAGAAAGAAACGGCATTTCTACCGACCGTGGGCCCCTCAGACCAGGCCTGGGGCTGATGTCCCCACCTCTGGGCGCTCAAGCCTCAAGCCAGGGGGCCGGCCCGCTGAGGCGCCGCCCTTTGGGGCCCCCACATTCCGCCCTGGAACTCTGCAACAGTGGGGTCTTGGAGACGGAGGCCCTGGCCGTCTCGGGTCCCGTCAGGACCGGGGACTAGGAGGAGAGGTGCCCAGCTACGATGGAGCTGTACCTCAACTTCTGCTCCAAGAAGGCCAAGGCTGCCTCGGTCAAGACGGCCACCAGCAGCCTGGCTGACGAGGTGAGGGGCAGGCCAGGGCCCTGGTCTCTGGTGGGCGGAGCGGGGAGAGCGCCTCCCCCAGGCCCCACGTGGTATCCAAGCGCTGGCGGGGCTCAGCCTAGGTCCCCTGGCCACCCTTCGACTGGACTGCAAGCCTCTCCGCTCCCTTGGGTGGTCGTGGGAGCGGGCAGGCCTCACCCACGGAGATCAGGCCCAGAGGGAGGCAACCGCTCCCCACGGGCCCACATGCCAGGCCCCGAGTGGCTGGAGACGGATGACCTTGTCCTTCCTCTTCAGGGGGGAAATGCGTCCTTTGGTTCCTTTCCCACGTCAGCGGTGGAGCTCGCCAGAACTGCCCTTTGGAAAGCACAGGGGTGTGCTGAGCACTGAGTAGGGAACGGGGCCTCGATGGGATGCTTCTTTCTGGTAAACCTTAAAAAGCACGGGACACACACGCAGAGGTGAGCGTGTCCGTGTGACACACGCTTTCGTTTGAACAGAAAATGCTTTCACGGCAAGTGAACAGACTACAGGACGGCCACCAGCTGGCCGGACATCCGGAGGTCACCCAGTTCCAAAACTGGCTGCTCATGGACCACATCCCATCGTTCAAGGACCAGGAGCGGCTCATTCGGCACCGGTGGGTGCGAGGGTGCCGTGCGTGCCGGGCACCAGTGAGCGGGGGTGCCGGAGGGACTGGAGCGGGCCCTTCGTCCCGGGTAGACACACCGAACTGCCTGCCGCCCTCAGTCAGAGAGGGAGGGAGCCTGAGAGGCACAGAGGTCGAGCACGGGGTGCCCGGGGAGGAAGGGCGATTCCACCAGAAACGATGGGGCTCCTGGGAGCCCCCAGGTCACTGGGCTGGTGGGGGGAGACAGAGGGGCACAGAGTGCTCGCTGCAGCGGGAGGGAGAGGGCGCTGGGGGGGCAGGGTGCTTACTGCAGGGGGAGGGAAAGGGCGCTGGGGGGGCAGGGTGCTTGGTGCAGCGGGAGGGAGAGGGCGCTGGGGGGGCAGGGTGCTTGCTGCAGCGGGAGGGAGAGGGCGCTGGTGGGCCAGGGTGCTTGGTGCAGCGGGAGGGAGAGGGCGCTGGGGGGGCAGGGTGCTTGCTGCAGGGGGAGGGAGAGGGCGCTGGGGGGGCAGGGTGCTTACTGCAGGGGGGGGGAGAGGGCGCTGGGGGGGCAGGGTGCTTGCTGCAGGGGGAGGGAGAGGGCGCTGGTGGGCCAGGGTGCTTGCTGCAGCGGGAGGGAGAGGGCGCTGGGGGGGCAGGGTGCTTGCTGCAGGGGGAGGGAGAGGGCGCGGGGGGGGCAGGGTGCTTGCTGCAGGGGGAGGGAGAGGGCGCTGGGGGGGCAGGGTGCTTGCTGCAGGGGGAGGGAGAGGGCGCTGGGGGGGCAGGGTGCTTGCTGCAGCGGGAGGGAGAGGGCGCTGGTGGGCCAGGGTGCTTGGTGCAGCGGGAGGGAGAGGGCGCTGGGGGGGCAGGGTGCTTGCTGCAGGGGGAGGGAGAGGGCGCTGGGGGGGCAGGGTGCTTGCTGCAGCGGGAGGGAGAGGGCGCTGGGGGGGCAGGGTGCTTACTGCAGGGGGAGGGAGAGGGCGCTGGGGGGGCAGGGTGCTTGCTGCAGGGGGAGGGAAAGGGCGCTGGGGGGGCAGGGTGCTTGCTGCAGCGGGAGGGAGAGGGCGCTGGGGGGGCAGGGTGCTTGCTGCAGCGGGAGGGAGAGGGCGCTGGGGGGGCAGGGTGCTTACTGCAGGGGGAGGGAGAGGGCGCTGGGGGGGCAGGGTGCTTGCTGCAGGGGGAGGGAAAGGGCGCTGGGGGGGCAGGGTGCTTGCTGCAGGGGGAGGGAGAGGGCGCTGGGGGGGCAGGGTGCTTGCTGCAGGGGGAGGGAGAGGGCGCTGGGGGGGCAGGGTGCTTGCTGCAGGGGGAGGGAGAGGGCGCTGGGGGGGGCAGGGTGCTTGCTGCAGGGGGAGGGAGAGGGCGCTGGGGGGGCAGGGTGCTTGCTGCAGCGGGAGGGAGAGGGCGCTGGGGGGCAGGGTGCTTGGTGCAGCGGGAGGGAGAGGGCGCTGGGGGGGCAGGGTGCTTGCTGCAGGGGGAGGGAGAGGGCGCTGGGGAGGCAGGGTGCTTGCTGCAGGGGGAGGGAGAGGGCGCGGGGGGGGCAGGGTGCTTGCTGCAGGGGGAGGGAAAGGGCGCTGGGGGGGCAGGGTGCTTACTGCAGGGGGAGGGAGAGGGCGCTGGGGGGGCAGGGTGCTTGCTGCAGGGGGAGGGAGAGGGCGCTGGGGGGGCAGGGTGCTTGCTGCAGGGGGAGGGAGAGGGCGCTGGGGGGGCAGGGTGCTTGCTGCAAGGGGAGGGAGAGGGCGCTGGGGGGGCAGGGTGCTTGCTGCAGGGGGAGGGAGAGGGCGCTGGGGGGGCAGGGTGCTTGCTGCAGGGGGAGGGAGAGGGCGCTGGGGGGGCAGGGTGCTTGCTGCAGGGGGAGGGAGAGGGCGCTGGGGGGGCAGGGTGCTTGCTGCAGGGGGAGGGAGAGGGCGCTGGGGGGGCAGGGTGCTTGGTGCAGCGGGAGGGAGAGGGCGCTGGGGGGGCAGGGTGCTTGGTGCAGCGGGAGGGAGAGGGCGCTGGGGGGGCAGGGTGCTTGCTGCAGGGGGAGGGAGAGGGCGCTGGGGGGGCAGGGTGCTTGCTGCAGGGGGAGGGAGAGGGCGCTGGGGGGGCAGGGTGCTTGCTGCAGGGGGAGGGAGAGGGCGCTGGGGGGGCAGGGTGCTTGCTGCAGGGGGAGGGAGAGGGCGCTGGGGGGGCCGGGTGCTTGCTGCAGCGGGAGGGAGAGGGCGCTGGGGGGGCAGGGTGCTTGCTGCAGGGGGAGGGAGAGGGCGCTGGGGGAGCAGGGTGCTTGCTGCAGGGGGAGGGAGAGGGCGCTGGGGGGGCAGGGTGCTTGCTGCAGGGGGAGGGAGAGGGCGCTGGGGGGGCAGGGTGCTTGCTGCAGGGGGAGGGAGAGGGCGCTGGGGGGGCAGGGTGCTTGCTGCAGGGGGAGGGAGAGGGCGCTGGGGGGGCAGGGTGCTTGGTGCAGCGGGAGGGAGAGGGCGCTGGGGGGGCAGGGTGCTTGCTGCAGCGGGAGGGAGAGGGCGCTGGGGGGGCAGGGTGCTTGCTGCAGGGGGAGGGAGAGGGCGCGGGGGGGGCAGGGTGCTTGCTGCAGGGGGAGGGAGAGGGCGCTGGGGGGGCAGGGTGCTTGCTGCAGGGGGAGGGAGAGGGCGCTGGGGGGGCAGGGTGCTTGCTGCAGGGGGAGGGAGAGGGCGCTGGGGGGGCAGGGTGCTTGGTGCAGCGGGAGGGAGAGGGCGCTGGGGGGGCAGGGTGCTTGCTGCAGGGGGAGGGAGAGGGCGCTGGGGGGGCAGGGTGCTTGCTGCAGGGGGAGGGAGAGGGCGCTGGGGGGGCAGGGTGCTTGCTGCAGGGGGAGGGAGAGGGCGCTGGGGGGGCAGGGTGCTTGCTGCAGGGGGAGGGAGAGGCCTCGGCACCCACCGAAGCAGCGGCTCGTATGGCTCATCTTCAAGGGCCGAGGGCACGAGTCTGGGGGAGTCAGTGCCACGTCAGACATGGAGGTTACTAGGCTGTCCTTATGCTAACGTAGAGGCGCACGGTCCCTCACAGAGGAGGTGCACGCTCTGCAGAGCCCCCTCCTCCTGTCCCTCCACTGCCATGCGGCGGCCAAGCATCTGAGGGAGGGAAGGGTTTATTGTTTGGGGTTCCGCCCTCCTCCCCTCCTCCCTGAAGGAGAGGTTCGGGCGGCCCAGCCTGACTCGTGGCCCGGCATTTACTGTGTGATGGTTCTGTAAGCACACGGCCTCCCCGAGACCGGACTCCGATGTTCAAGGCTTTGGAAGTCCCTGGGACCGGATACAACTTGTTCTCAGGAAACGCTGGTCTTTTTTCTTCTCTCTCTCTCTCTATGTCTGAAATAAGTTCTGAGTTATTCCAGCCTTCTGAGCAAACCCATATCCCTAAAGCCGCTGAGTGAGGGACAGCCCGGCCTCCCGGGGCTGCTCCCGGGGACCGCTGTCCGGGCCGCAGCAGACGGCAGGGTCACCAAACCGGGCCAGCAGCTGCAGCCGGGGACCGGCCGGCCAGGACCTGTACCCCTCCTGTGGGTGGGACCAGGAGGGAGGGCGGGGCGGGGCGGGGGGGTGCGGGGGGGAGACGACAGGGGGCCGCTCACACACCTGCGCTGCAGGTACCTGGACATGATCAACCGGGAGCTGGAGTACCGGGAGCGCCGGGCGGAGGAGCAGCGTCGCCAATGGATGGACCGCGAGGAGCGGCGGCACTGGGACCACATGCGCAGGAAGCTGGGGCTGCGCAGGAAGATCGAGGAGGTGAGCGGGCGGCGGCAGGAGGAAGGCGGGCTGGCCGGTTCCGTTCACAGCGGACTCCGCTGCCGGGCCCCTGGCGCCTGCCCGGCCTGAGTCACGTGCCCACACGCGTGTTCTCCTGGCCCCGCGGGCAGCGGCTGCACCATCGGGAGCTCACAATGCAGACTCCACGGCGTGTCCACCCGAGAGCCATGACCGTGAACGTTTTACTAGTAGACGCCGTTTGCTTCTATTTATTTATTTATTATATATATTTGTTTTAAGTTTTACGGGCGTTTTTATAATGTGTTTTTCGTGATTTCAGAAAGGATGGGAGAGGGGGAGAGGTGGAAACATCAATGATGAGAGAATCACTGACCGGCTGCCTCCTGCACGCCCCACACTGGGGATGGAGCCTGCCACCCGGGCCTGTGCCCTGACTGGGGATCCAGCCCTGACCTCCTGGTTCCTAGGCCGATGCTCCACACTGGCAACTGGACACCTCTTAACTGGCCGGAGCCCTCAGTGAGGAGGGAGCTTTGGGGGGAAATGCCAACTCTCCCCGCCTGCCTTCGCACCTGGCAGGAGGGAGGAGGCCCATTGGGGTCAGGACACACGCTCACCGCCAGGTACACGCTCACCGCCGGGCACACGCTCACCGCCAGACACACGCTCACCGCCGGACACACGCTCACTGCCATGCACACGCTCACTGCCAGACACACGCTCACCGCCATGCACACGCTCACCGCCGGACACACGCTCACCTCCGGGCACACGCTCACCGCCATGCACACGCTCACCGCCATGCACACGCTCACCGCCGGGCACACGCTCACCGCCAGACACACGCTCACCGCCGGACACACGCTCACTGCCATGCACACGCTCACCGCCAGACACACGCTCACCGCCATGCACACGCTCACCGCCGGACACACGCTCACCGCCAGACACACGCTCACCGCCATGCACACGCTCACCGCCGGACACACGCTCACCGCCGGACACACGCTCACCGCCATGCACACGCTCACCGCCGGACACACGCTCACAGCTGGACACACGCTCACCGCCAGGTACACGCTCACCGCCGGACACACGCTCACTGCCATGCACACGCTCACTGCCGGACACACGCTCACCGCCAGACATACACTCACCGCCATGCACACGCTCACCGCCGGACACACGCTCACAGCTGGACACACGCTCACCTCCGGACACACGCTCACCTCCGGACACACGCTCACCTCCGGGCACACGCTCACAGCCAGGTACACGCTCACCTCCGGGCACACGCTCACTGCCAGGTACACGCTCACCTCCGGGCACACGCTCACCGCCAGGTACACGCTCACTGCCAGGTACACGCTCACCTCCGGGCACACGCTCACCACCAGGTACACGCTCACCGCCATGCACACGCTCACCTCCGGGCACACGCTCACCGCCAGGTACACGCTCACCTCCGGGCACACGCTCACCGCCAGGTACACGCTCACCTCCGGGCACACGCTCACCGCCAGGTACACGCTCACCGCCGGACACACGCTCACCGCCAGGTACACGCTCACCGCCGGACACACGCTCACCGCCGGACACACGCTCACCGCCATGCACACGCTCACCACTGGACACACGCTCACCGCCGGACACACGCTCACCTCCGGACACACGCTCACCGCCAGGTACACGCTCACCTCCGGGCACACGCTCACCGCCGGACACACGCTCACCACTGGACACACGCTCACCACTGGACACACGCTCACCGCCGGACACACGCTCACCTCCGGACACACGCTCACCGCCAGGTACACGCTCACCTCCGGGCACACGCTCACCGCCGGACACACGCTCACCACTGGACACACGCTCACCACTGGACACAGGCTCACCGCCGGACACACGCTCACCTCCGGACACACGCTCACCGCCAGGTACACGCTCACCTCCGGGCACACGCTCACCGCCAGGTACACGCTCACCTCCGGGCACACGCTCACCGCCAGGTACACGCTCACCGCCGGACACACGCTCACCGCCGGACACACGCTCACCACTGGACACACGCTCACCACTGGACACACGCTCACCTCCGGACACACGCTCACCACTGGACACACGCTCACTGCCGGACACACGCTCACCTCCGGACACACGCTCACCGCCAGGTACACGCTCACCTCTGGGCACACGCTCACCGCCGGACACACGCTCACCTCCGGACACACGCTCACTGCCAGGTACATGCTCACTGCCGGACACACGCTCACCACTGGACACATGCTCACCGCCGGGCACACGCTCACCGCCGGACACACGCTCACCTCCGGACACACGCTCACCGCCAGGTACACGCTCACCTCCGGGCACACGCTCACCGCCAGGTACACGCTCACCGCCGGACACACGCTCACCGCCGGACACACGCTCACCACTGGACACACGCTCACCACTGGACACACGCTCACCGCCGGACACACGCTCACCACTGGACACACGCTCACCACTGGACACACGCTCACTGCCATGCACACGCTCACCGCCGGACACACGCTCACCTCCGGACACACGCTCACCGCCATGCACACGCTCACCTCCGGGCACACGCTCACCGCCAGGTACACGCTCACCTCCGGGCACACGCTCACCGCCAGGTACACGCTCACTTCCGGGCACACGCTCACCGCCATGCACACGCTCACCTCCGGGCACACGCTCACCGCCAGACATACGCTCACCGCCGGACACACGCTCACCGCCGGACACACGCTCACCGCCGGACACACGCTCACTGCCATGCACACGCTCACCGCCGGACACACGCTCACTGCGAGGCCTGGCTCGGTGGCGGGACAAAGACAGGGCTCGGGGCGCCCTAACCGCTCGCCTGCACCCCCAGGAATGGAAGGCCAAGGAGATGCTGCTGCTCTCGAGGATTGTCGAGGACGTGAAGCGGGAAGCGCGGATCGAGGAGCAGCGGCGGCGGAACCGCGAGGAGAGCGACCGGAAGGTAGGTGTGGCCCCCCCACATCGGGGCACAGGCGGGGCTGGTGGGGGCTCTGAGGGGCATGTGCCCCCAACGGGGTTGCCCCCGAATGGGCCAGAGGGCAGCTCCGAGTGATGACCGTGTGGACACCTGCGGCCGCTCTGCTCTGACCACAGGACCAAAAGCACCCGGGGTCTGGGGGAGCCCCCGCCCCACAAACCACACCTGTACCTCCCGCAGGAAAACAATGGCGGGCCTGGTCTTTTCTTAGAATCAGAATTTCCTGGGAAAAGTTCTCCATCTTCACCCATCCGTTAGTTTTTAGAGTCAGTGCCTTTAATTTTAAGTCAGATACAGTATCTTATGATTTCGAGTCTCAATCTGTTGTAAAGAGAAGGAGAGGATTTACGATCCCAGGACCACGCCCACAGAGGCACGCCACACACCCAGATCTGTGAGCGCCCAGGATTGACTCACTTCCTGTCTGACGGCTCACTTTCCTGCTCCTCTGTATGCTCAGCTGCCTCTGATCAATGCCCCATACCATGAACTTCACTTTTGGGGTGCAGAATCTTTCTCTTATAGATACTAATCACTCACTGCCGGACCCGTTTGATTGGTGAGGGTCTTGCTTTTTCAAATGCGTCTGATGGAGCCAGACCGTGTCTCACCTGGGACCAGTTACCCCCGTCCTGCTTCCTGCCCAGAGCACCGCGAGGACGTGTTCCCGGGGCGGCTGCGGGGCAGGTGGGCAGGCGGCCCGGAGCTCAGTGCTCCCTGACCCTCGGGCCGGCCTGGCTGTGGCCCCGGGCCGTCGGCCACACGCAGGTCCTGCAGCCGCTCTGCCAGGGAATGTCAGGCCAGCGGTCGGCAAACTCACGAGTCCACAGAGCCAAATACCAACAGGACAAGGATTGAAATCTCTTTTGAGCCACATTTTTTAAACTTAAACTTCTTCTAATGCCACCTCTTCAACATAGACTCACCCAGGCCATGCTCATAGGTCAACGATTTTTTTGTGGAAGAGCCACACTCAAGGGGCCGAAGAGCCACATGTGGCTCGTGAGCCGCAGTTTGCCGGCCACGGGGCTAGGAGAGTGGGCAGTTCCCCCTGTGCCGCGCCTGCAGAGTCACAAGGGGAAGTCACGGGCCACGGGTTCCATCAGTTTCCCTCCGGTCGGCCTCAGCACCCCGACTGAAGGTGGTTTAGAAACTCTGTGGCCCCCAGGATGCTGGGCGGGCAGAGCCCCTTGGGCTGACTGGGGACCAGGCGCCTGAACCCGGGCAGGGAGCTGGCCTGCGCCGCGTGTCCACCGCGTGTCCACCGCGTGTCCACCGCGTGTCCACCGCGTGTCTGAGCACCAGTGGGACAGGAGCTGTCGCCGGTGAGTGCGTGTGCTGCATCCTAGACGGCAAGACGATGCTCACCTGTGCGCTTTCCTCCGTGTTTTAGAAACAAGCTCTTCTAGAGAAGAAGATGGCTTATCATTTACAAAAAATGCAACAGAACGGCCTCAAGAGGGAAGACACGGGGAAAAACACGGATTACCGAGGGCTGGAGGTGCCGCGCCCCGAATGTAAGCTGAGGCGGGGTAGGGGTGTCTGCGGAGCGCGCCCTGTGTGCCGGCAGGAGACGCTCTGTAACGCGGTGTCTGCTGCGCTTGCTGAGCACCGGCCCGGCTCCAGACGTCCCCCGTTCCGCTTGCGGGGAAGGGTGGACACGGATGTAAGAAACACTCCAGACAGCCTTACCCCTGGCTCAGTAGACAAGGCTGCCCACACTGCAATCCTAACCAGCTTCTCTACGAAAAGTCCTGTCTCCTTTGCTACTCACCCTGAGAAAGCTGCAGGACAGAGAGGCCGTGAGATGCCGGCCGAGGCTTCTGCACTGCTGGCAGCACTCGGTGCCCGGGACAAAGCAAGGGAAGGCCGAGGGCTGGGGAGTTAGAGGGAGGGGTGGCGAGGAAACCAGAAGGGGGAAAAGAAGGACAGGAAGGAAGTTTAAAGAAGGAACATCAGGCCACGACCTGGCCAGGCCCGATCTCTACCAGATTCCTTTCATATATAACGTCATAAACTATTAGGGACTTTATCACATCAACTTAATTCATAATGTTAACTAATATTTCATGGCAAGAACACAAAGACGCAGACTCGCTTTAATGATCTGTGATTCTGCAGTATCAGGGAACACACGGTCACACACACACACCATACACCATGCAGCCACCATCACAGCATCCCGTCCAGCTGGCCTCTGCCCCCCGGCCCTGTGTCCAGGTGAGAGCCTACCTGTGTCACCCAGCAAGTCCCCACCTGGTCTCCACCGGCTCTCCAGGGGACCCACCTCAAACCCACTTCTTCTTCTTCTTTTTTTTTAAAACATATTTTATTGATTTCTTATAGAGAGGAAGAGAGAGGGATAGAGAGTTAGAAACATCGATGAGAGAGAATCCTCCATCAGCTGCCTCTTGCACACCTCCCAGTGGGGATGTGCCCACAACCAAGGTACATGCCCTTGACCGGAATCAAACCTGGGACCATTCAGTCCTCAGGCATACTCTCTATCCACTGAGCCAAACCGGTTTCGGCAAATCCCACTTCTAAACAGCGACCTCACGATGCTTAGACGCTCCTGCTTGTCTCTTATCCTGGCCCCACAAGTCAGGGAGCCCCAGGACCTCGCAAAGAGAGCTCTGCCTCCACAGGCAGCCAGCCATCCCATTGGTCACTGTCCAGAGCCCGCCCCGGGGCGCTGTTTTCCTGTGTTTCGTGTAAATCCATGAAGAAGGCAGCTGTGACCTAATCCCTAACATGTACAGACTCTTGAGCCAAATGCTGGAGGCCAAGCCCTGCTTTCACATGCCCTTACCATGCAAATGCTCGGACAGGTCACCTAACTGCCCACAGCCAGTGGTCGGCAAACTCCTTAGGCCACAAAGCCAAATATCAACAGCACAACGACCGAAGTTCCTTTGGAGAGCCTATGTTTTAAACTTCTCCTAACGCCACTTCTTCAACATAGACCCGCCCAGGCCATGCTATTTTGTGGAAGAGCCACACTCAAGGGGCCAAAGAGCCGCATGTGGCAGTTTGCCGACCATGGCCCACAGCCACGTGCTGTCATTTGGAAACAAAGCCCAGATGAAACAGCTCCTCTGACGTGTGTAAAGGCCCTGGCCCACAGTCAGCACTCAGGTCAGGTCCTTGTCCAATCACATGAGAGGACTGGCCGTTCCTAAAACAGGCATCCCCTCCCGTACTTCCCGGCCTCCCCTCCCCGACCGCCTCCCTCCGCCTGCACCGCCTGCTCACTCCCCAGACCGGCTGTAACCGGCTCCAGAGCGCCTGCCTGCACAGAGCCGGCCGGGGCATGCCTCTCCTTGGATCCCTGTAGCACTCGTGTCATTCTGTTTCCTTTTCGATGCATTCGAGCCGCACTGTTAGTTTATTTTTTAATTGACCCTAGAAAGAGGGAGGGAGGGAAAGAGAAACATCATGTGAGAAAGAAACATCAATCGGGTGCTTCCCGTGCAATGCCTGACTGGGAATCGAACCCACAACCTGGGCATGCGCCCTGACCGGGAATCGAACCCACCGCCTTTTGGTGCCCAGGACAATGCCTACAGGAGCCAGGGCTGCTCTCTGCCATTCTTGACACACGTATTACAGACCTTCACCAGCCTCACTCGGCAACCTCGGTGTTCCTTGGGCACCTGGCACTCTACGCATGTATGTAAGCACAGACTACACGTATGTTTGCTGAACGATTCAGCTCGTTGGGATCATGGCAGCAATGCCCCACTGCAGAAATCACTTCAGGAGCTACACGCATTCCTTCCTCACTTACTAGGAACAGGGATGTCAAGGGGGCATTGTAAGCCCTTGTTACCCCAAACCTCCCTTTGGGAAGAAGGAGGTTAGAGATGAACGTATGCTATGGAGGCGACAGGACGGGACAGGTTTCTCAGATGAAACGGGAGCATAGCTCCATAGTCATGTCACCCCCCCCACACACACACACACACAAAGCACCGGGCCCCAGGGGCACAGAGAGAGGCGGAGGAAGGGCCCCAGAGGGGTCTGATCCAGGGGGACCCACAGCTCTGCTGTCCTTCGTGGTGCGGACCCGGAACTAGCATCCGAGCATCGCCCTATGGAGAACCAGGGCTCGGTGCGGGTGGCTGCTGTGCAGGCGTGGGAACCGCTCAGGGCCGCAGTCGGCACCGAGGGCGGCTGGCGGCTGCCCAGAGAGGAATCCATGCTGTGCACACGAGCTGGGTGGCCTCTCCTCTCGGCCAGGAGGAAACGTTGGCCCTCGTTTATTTATTTTCATTTTTCAATTTAAATTTAAAAAATAATAATTAATGCATATCTCCCTCCCCCACCCCTGCCTCTGGCAACCACCAGCCTACTCTCTGTAGCTATGAACTTGGTTTATTTACCTACTTTTAGATCGCACACAGAAGAGAGATGACCTGATATTTGCCTTTTTCTGTCTGTCTTGTCTTAAGGAGTGTAAGGCTCATCCATGTGGTTGCAAGTAGCAAGATTTCATTTTTTAGGGCTAAATAATAGTCCATATTTTATATATATCACATCTTCATGTGTGTGTGTGTGTGTTACTATTGAAATATATGTGCTATTGTAGAAATTATTATAGATGTTTCCCATTTAGATGTCTCCCATTTACCTGCCTCCACCCAGCCCCCTACCACCCCAGGTCTTCACACCCTGTCGTGTAGGTCCCTGGGCTCTGTCCCTCCTTTGACCGGGAGGGCTACTCTTCGAGAGTGGTTGTCTGTCTTCCAGTCCACATCTCCCAGCTCCTCGCTGCCTCCCCACTGGCCACCGGCGATTAGCATAGGACTTGACCCTCGGGCCAGGAAAAGATGGACTATCTTGGGTAAGTCTGTCGTCGCCATTATTAAAAATAAGTGTCTTCTTACATTTCTTTAAGCTTACACTCCAATGAAGAAAAAGAAGACTTCTGAGGAAATAAAGACACTTTACACTGTCACCGAACAAAAGCCAAATAAAGGAGGCCATGGTAATTGATTAGTGAGATAAGAAATACTAAGTGGCAATTTGGGGAAAGACTGGCTTTAGATGGCCCCTTTTGCTTAAATGCAGACAAATCCTCTGTTCTCTGCTGTCCAATGACCGGCTTAGAGGGATTCTTACCAGAATTTGATCTCTAGCTACTGATTTAGTGTTTCAAACTTAACATGAGGGCATCCTTTTAGGAAAATCCCATGACGGTTCAGCGCTATTAAATGAACAGTACGAGAAACCTAACAAATTGCAACCTAATTTTATAATACTCAAAACGATTTTAGGAAACACTGGAGTGAGTCATAAATCAAGCGCATGAACGGCAAAGCCACCGTGAAGTTATTATTTCTCTCACACCGCACTGCGTCACGTGTCTTGTCAGAGCTCACCCGAACCCAGAGGGCAGCACCCGCGTCCTCCAAATCAGCGGGGCCACCGGTTGGCAACCACTGCTCCAAAGGTTCCATGATCAAAAGTACAGAATTGTTCAGATGGAACATTGATCCCCTCCCACTATTAAATTTCCAGGGAAAAGTAAAGTGTAACAGTTAAGTCCCTTTGTTCTTATCAGTTAGCATCTAAAGAATAAAGTCCAAAATCTTCCCTCCAAGCCTGTAATCTGATGAGTCTCATTAAGATTCAGAAACCTGGGAAGAGACAGGGCTGCCTTGGGGGCAGCTGGATGTCACTTAGAACCACCGAGGTCTCGAAGCTCCATGGATCCCACTTTCACTTTTTAAATATATTTTTAATTGATTTCAGAGAGGAAGAAAGAGGGAGAGAGAGAGAGAAACATCAATGATGAGAAATAATCCTCCACACCCCCTACTGGGGATCGAGCCCGCAACCCTGGCCTGTGCCCTTGACCGGAATTGAACCTGGGACCCTTCAGTCCACAGGTAGACGCTCTATCCACTGGGCCAAACTGGCTAGGGCGGATCCCACTTTTAAATTCCAAAGACTTTTGTATAAAACACCAAAGGGTTCTACACCACACTTAATGATGACACCACCGGCCCCACACCTACTGAAATGTAGATCCTGAACCTCAGTTCTCAATGTTTGACACAGTTATCTCACCCCCGGTGACCTTCTCAAACTCAAGGGTTTCATGTGGCCCAGGCTAGTCTTACTGATATTTATAAAAGCAAACTCAGTGGTATTGAATGAACGGATGCTGGATGGAAAACCTTGTTTTCAGCCTCCCCAGCTGCCAGTCCAGCTGGGACAACTGCCGGGGGATCCGACCTATAAATATCGGTCTAGTTGGAGGGCATCTCCCATGAAAAGATGAATGTGGGGAGTGCAGTGGTACCCATCAGAAACAGAGTGGGGTTGATCTATCTAGGCTCCACTCTAACAAGAGTGGCATATATTATTGATTTCAGAGAGGAAGGGAGAGGGGGAGAGAAATGGGAACATCAATGAGAGAGAAAATGCTGCTGCAAGGGTAAATGGTATGTAAAATGGTCAAACCATTTTGGAAAACACTTTGGCATTTCTTAAAAGTTAAACACACACAAAAAAAGGAACAAATTTTAATACATGTGACATTGTGTTTAGTGAGAGAAGCCAGGCCCCCCAAAAAATAAAATAAATAAATAAATAAATAAATAAATAAATAAATAATAGGAGTACATACTCTAGGATTCCATTCATATGAAATTCTAGAAAAGTAAAATAATATTGTGTGAGAGGTACAGAGCAGCAGTGTTAAGGGATGGTCAGAGCACTATGGATAGATTACAAATGTGGGTGAAATCTTTTGAGGGTATTGGGGATGTTATTTTGAGTTCAGTGATCGTTTCACAGCTGTAGACATTCTAAAATTGATTTTTAAAAGTATTCAAATAAGTGCAGTTTTTTATACTTCAGTCATACTTCAGTAAATTGTTGTTTAAAAAAAAAACTAGTGTTTTTTTTCTTTTCGTTTAATTTTAGAACAGACAATAGGTGTTCATCAATCTCCAAGTGGGTCCAAAAATGTTACCAGAAATTCATCACCTCCAACTATGTTCCAATCGAATGTACGCGATAATAATACTATGGAACAAAAGGTATAAATTTATGTCCTGAACTTTTGTATGGTGATCATTAATTCACCTAACTTTCACTTCTATGAACAATCTATTTCCCTCCTAGCAGGGTACTGACTATTTAGGAATATTAGATTCTGTTCCAGAGATCTGATCCTTCTCCTTGACACTGTTGTAACCTTTGTGCAGACTCATTCTATAATTTAGGAAAAACTCACCTAAATCAAACATTTATCAGTTATAATCGTAGCTACTACAATCATTGATTGGCTGCCTCCTGCACACCCCACTGAGCATCTCCTGCTGGAGAAGCTCTGTGCTGAGCCAGAGGCACGGGAGGAGGAGAAAACAGGGTCACATGGAACACAAAGATGAGACAAGCACCTGAGAACACATTGTCTAGCAGGCCAGAGAGACACAGTCAAATGCTTTTACGATAAAATTAGGTTCTGGGATGAGGAATTTTGTTTTGATTCTAAGCAATGTGTCCATTCAGCATTAGATGAGAGTGAACTGGATTGTCTTTCCCTGAAACAAACTGAGTGACTCCACTTTTAGAACTGATCACTGAACAGACTCCATGCTTTAAACAGAATATGGAGTATTGGGAGTATTGTATATTGTACATTGTATATTGTATATTGTATATTGTATATTGTATACTGAACTCAATTTCAAAATAGTTAGACTTGAGATTCCTGGAAGAGGTACCCGAGAAAGTTGGTAAGATTGTTGTTCCTGAAGCAATTATCACGAGAGAATTAGGAGACAAAGGGGTGAAAACAAATCTGTATTTGTTTCATAGAAGGAAAAATCTTCTCAAGTACAGTCACCAATAAATTTTTTTTTCTCTTTAATGTTGTACCACACAGAAAGATGGAATGTTAACTAAAAAACCAAGTCCTACCAATGGCAAAGGTAAGAAAATGAAAAATATATATAATTGTTTTGTTGCTTATTAAGAATATACAATAATTATGGGTTTCATCATAGTTTTTCAAGCTATTTGTTTTACCTGGTTACAAAAATCATGGTCATCTTAGAAAATAAAGCATGGTGTAAGATTGTTTATGATGATAGGTGTTATAATTAGCCCAAATATCTGAGTGATTGCTTTGGGAGTATGGCTTTAGAAAGTTGCCAGGTGTGGGAAGGAGGGTCCCAGATGGCTGTGTATCAGGACAGGCAGAGTAAGTTACTGACACTGTATGGCTCAGCAGGTTACCCTACAGACATCTGTCCTCAGGAGGCAGTGCCAGCAATTCCCCCCAGACAATACGCCAGATTTCCCAAACCCCCTGGAGTGGACTGTACACTCAATAACTATTGAGAGGGAAGGTGGGGCAGAAAGAGATTAACTAGAGATTAGCATTACCTATGACATAAAAAATAAGGTGTTGAAGGCCTGGGGCGGGGTGAGAACTGGGTAGAGGGGAGTAATGGGGTGGGGTGGGGGGTATCTGAAATACTCGCAACAATAAAGGTGTTTTATGTTTTTTTAAAAATACACTTTCATTGATTTCTTAGAGGAAGGGAGAGGGAGAGAGAGAGAGAAGCATCAATGATAAGAGAGAACCATTGATTGGCTGCCTCCTGCATGCCCCTACTGGGCATGAATCAAAGCTGGGACTCTTCAGTCCAGAGGCCGATTCTCTATCCACTGAGCCATATCAGCTAGGGCAAAAAAAAATAATAATAATAACAATAATAATAAGTTTTTAGGTGCCTTGTTAGATTTCTGAAAGTCCCTAAAGAGTTCCTTCTGTATACTTATCTAAATATACAAGCAGGAAACCTCACACATCTCCATCCAGGGCCAATGACTACCCCAAGGTCAATACAGTCACAGGCATCATCTTCCTGAGCCTTCCAGTTCCCCCAGGAACAAAACCCAGTTATCTTGGACTCTTCCTCTTTCTTGTAGTTTGCATCCCAAAGTTGTCGCTTTCTGTTCAATCTGCCCTCTTCATTTCCCGAGCCCTTTCCTCTGTTCCACTCCCACAGCTCCAGGCCTTGCTTCCTCCATCCTTTACAATGTTATTGCCCTCCCTCCCACCCTTCCTCCTCCTCTCCATCCACCATGCATTTGTTGTGGAAGCATTCTTCCAAGAAAACAGCCTTGGGCCCAGCTGGTGTGGCTCAGCGGTTGAGTGTCAACCTATGAACCAGGTCAGGGTTCGATTCCAAGTCAGGGCACACGCCCAGGGTGGAGTCTGCAGGATACAGCTAATCCATGATTCTCTCTCATCACTGATGTTTTTCTCTCTCTCTCCCTCTCCCTTTCTCTCCAAAATCAATATAAAGGTATTTAAAAAACAAAAAACAACAACAACAAAAAACAACAACAAAAACCAAACAGCTTTGGTCATTCAAGTAGTTGTAAGTTTCTCACTGCAGACTGAATGAAATGAAAAGTTTTTTGGCCATGGTCTGTGGTTATAGGGATTAAGCTGGCCATAACATTAAATAAGTTAGGCCATAACATTAAATAAGTTAAGGATTTGAGACTCCTTGGAACTGATGGTGAACCTCTGGAAAGCTGTAGTCAGTGATCATCCAAAAAGACTCCACTATCATTTTATTTTTTTTATTTTATTATTTTATTTTATTTATTTTATTTTCCATGCTATCCTTTTCCATACTTCCTTAAGTCAGACAAATCCCCCATATGGTAATCCAGCGACTGAGACAGCTCAGCAGGAGAACACTGGGTCAGTCCTCTCATTAGCGTTCACCCAGGCCTGGCTGGTTTGGCTCAGTGGATAGAGTGTCGGCCAGCAGAGGTTCAGTTCCAGTCAAGGGCATGTACTTAGGTGGGGATGGCGCATGTGGGAGGTCACCAATCGGTGTGTCTCTCTCCCGTCGATGTTTCTTTCGCTCTGTCTCTTTCCTTCCACTCTCTCTAAAGATCAATGGGGAGATACCCTCACCTAACAGTCACCCCTGCTTCAGCGACACTGCCTTCTCAGTGTAAACGCATCACTGTTTCTTTCTAGGTGTCCTGTACCCCTCAGCTCCAGAGACTCTGCTTTCCACTCAAACTTCACCCACGAGAACTTTCAACAGAACTTCACAGACGTTTATGGGGCCTGCAAAAGTTGAGGACTACAACATTTCTTTTGCCCCAAATACAAGCTTACTTAACGAGGTACCATTTGAAGACCCTCCTTGGTACAAAACACACTCCATCCACCACGTGACCGTACCGAGGGCGCTGCCAGAGCAGCTGTGGACGGCAGCTCAGCCTGCAAGGCGGGCCTGGGCGGGTGTGTGGGGACTTGCTTTTCCAGCATCCCTGCCTGACACAGAGCAGGTCATGTTTGCTGAGCACCTGCCTGGCGTCGGGGGAGCGGGAGCGTGCTCTGCGCGAAGTCAGGGCTCGTCAATAGAAGCCTGTGCGGAGTTTCCCATGGAGTCTCTTCTCCACCTCCCCCCCAGGACCAACCCCCACCTTCGGCCTGAACGCTGCACTCCTGTCCTGTCCTCCCGCAGGAGAGAGAGCCCTTGAGGGTGACCGTGGGTGGCGTTTCCCAGACCCCGCCCCTGCCTTCCCCCACCCCACCCCTTCCCCACAGCGGGCCTTTTGTTTGTGATAAATCTCAGATGTGGGTGCAAACACATTCTGAGTCCCGGTGGCTTAACAGGTCACCCGATGGGCGATGGGCGAGCGCTCTTACGGCCCTTCCAGGACACCAGGGTGCCCGTGTAGATTCTGTAAACTGCAGACCGCACACAGTGGGGGTGCCTCTTAACAACTGACCCTCAAGGGACATTCTCCACCCCTTAGATTTCTATGTCCAAGTGCGTAGGGTTAGTTAATGTTCTGACCCTGGGAGCCCTCTGAGGATGTTTGTTTGTTTTGTCGTTTGGGTTCCACAGAATAAAAGAGAAAGCAAGAGACTGAGCTACGACACAGGTAAGCACCGGCCCCCACCGAGGGGTAAAGGACGCCGTCTTTTCGTTCATCCTTTCCGCCCGCACTCACGGGGCCCGATCGATCGGTGCCAGGTCTGGGGAGTGAAAAAACCCGGGCTCTCACCCAGGGCGGGCGTGGCGGTGAAGTGAGGAGACGGCCCTGCCCGTGACGCCCCCACAGTGCAGTAAGCGTGGGGCGGGCGGTGCGTGTGCGGAGAAACAGGAGGACACTGACTGACGTAGCAGATGCTGAGCAAGGCTCCCGGGCGGCTAACACGCTGAAGGAGACCTAAGGAGGAGTCCTCACAGGAAGGCAGTGGGTCCTCCAGGCAAAGGACACAGCCCAAGGGCTCGGAGGCCTGTGGGAACTGGTCGTGTCTCTGTGCGTGTGGACCACAGACGACACCTGAAAGGCCAGCCGAGAAGACACTGGCCAGGGGAGTAAGGGCCGCAGAGGGGAGGGTGCCTGTAGCCTTATAGCGAAGGAACTGGCGCTTGGTGATGGGAGTTTCTGCAGACTCTCAACCGAGGCCGAGGCCTTAGAGGCTGAGCACCTACCGCGGGAGTCATGGCTGTTTTAGACGTCACTGGGGAAGGGCACCAACTATGATTTTCTTTTTCTGATAAACAGGACCACAGGCTCCTGAGCCAAGCCCAAATACTTACGCTCCTCACTTGTTCACAAATATGTAAGTATTCGGACCTCAGAGGGAAGGGAGGGGAGGGTGGGGATAAAGAAGTCCATGTGTAATTGTAAATTAGTATTTTTGTAATCACACAAGTTCCAGCCCACAGGGAGTGGGGAGGGGACCTCGCCCTTGGAGGGCCGCTGGGATGCAGTGAAGGTTCTGTCCCGCTCAGCACTGAGCTTCGATGCTGAAGTAGACAAGGGGATGTCCTTCCTTCCCCATCTGCCTCTCCTCCCGGGGGCCCCACACTTTCCCTGTGGGGTTTTCAGACGGATGTGTGTCTCATGCAGTTTATACAGATGACGTTTTATCCCTCCTCTGAGTGATAAAGCATGTCAGTACAGGAGGAGAAGGAGAAATGGGTTGACAAAAATAAAGTTTATCCTTCCTTTTGAGTTTCTGTAGAAAAACTCCCAGATATGAAGAGAAGACACTGGTTCAATGATCAGAAATTTTAGAAAAGGTTCCATAGATTTTTTTTTTGGCCTTAAGTAATAACTAAACGATCCCCTTTCTTGACTTTACAGACATCCGCATAACCTACAAAAAAAAGTACGTATCATAAAATCCATTGATAAAGTAGCCTATCAATAAGACTTTCTACAGTGTCATAATAGAGAAAGAGTTGTGCATCAAATAATGGGTCATCAAGTGTGGCTATTAGGCTCTCTCTTTGCCCATATTTTCTTCTTTAATGTTTCTTTTTGGTTAATTCTTGGATTTTGGAGGGGTCTAGAGTTCTCACCAAAGGGAATGCTGGCCCTTGCAGAAAGGAAGGGGTCTCGTGCGGCGAGAAGGGGCGGGGGCGTTAAGGGACCTGCCCATTATAAGGGCATCATCAGACACACGGGAAGCCAGTATGACAGGGCTTTGCAGACCTGACTGATGGGCCGGGATGCCTGGGTTTGTCCCTCACCATCTTCATAGGCTGAGAGCTCGTGACCCAGGAAAGTCACACGAAAGGCACCTGGTCACCCACGAACTGAGATGCGCGGCAGACAGACAGGAGGGCGGGTCTGTAAATCTCTCCCAGGCAGGAAGGAACGAGGGCTCGGGGGACAACACGTATCCTGACAGGCTTCTATCACATGGGCACCGGCTCAACTCATAGCAAGTGGCACAAATCCAAAAGCTTTGACTCCGGGACTATTTCTTAGCTTAGCATCATAATGGGATAGAATACACCTGAAAACTACATCCTGCTTTCCATATTTCACTACATGGAAAACTTTAAGGATATCTCTCTCTCATATCTCAAGGTTGGAAACACTCCCTCCCACTTAGCCAAAGAATGACACTGCAGATCTGTGACATATTATCTCCGGTTATAAGAAAAACTATATATATATATATATATATATATATATATATATATATATATATATATTGAATTCTTGGTTTGTATGTGTTATAGTGGATTAGAAGAATTACTTCCTCTGTGAGAATTTAGATTTTATTCTTTTTTAAATATATTTTATTGATTTTTTACAGAGAGTAAGAGAGAGGGATAGAGAGCTAGAAACATTGATGAGAGAGCATCATCAATCAGCTGCCTCTTGCGCACCCTCTACTGGAGATGTGCCCGCAACCAAGGTACATGCCCTTGACCGGAATGGAATCTGGGACTTTTCAGTCCACAGGCCGACACTCTATCCACTGAGCCAAACCGGTTTTGGCTAGATTTTATTCTTAATGTAGTTGATTTAGGATATGATTATATGAGGCAAGTATTATGCAACATATGCTCTCGTCCAACATATGTTGTACAATTGTACAATAAGTGACAAAGTATCTGTAGGGAATTAAAGTGATTAGAGCAGGGGAAAAATGATTGTCCCTGGGGTGCCTCCAAACTCTCTCAAATGCATCAGGAGAAAGGATGCTACATACATGTTACCTTTTCATTGAATGTTGGCCTGAAACATGGATAATGCCATGCTAACGTCAGGCAATGTTTGGGATGTGAACAGCCTCATTGCAAGAATCCTATGGCTTATCCTCATACCTATACATGCTTTGCTGTTAATTACTGCTTACAGCCTTTGTGTCTTAAAAGTAATAATTTAAACACAGTCTACCAGTTTATGACAGGCAATAAATTGGACTTTTGCAAGCCCAAAGGAGATTCTCAGTAATTAGAGGTATGTAGAATGTTCTGCTTCTACTCTTGGTCCAGTTCAATCAGCAACAATTCCACTGACCTCTGAGGAAACAGTCATCCTTCCATTTATATTTCCAGCTCAACACGAGGAGTTCTCTCACTCCCTGACCATGGCTCAGCCCTCCTGACTCTGACAGACCCAGTTCTAGCTCGGCCCTTGTTTTCTATCTAAGTCAGTGGTTCTCAACCTTTGTAATGCCTCGACCCTTTAATACAGCTCCTCATGGTGTGGTGACCCCCAACCATAAAATTATTTTCATTGCTACTTTATAACTGTAATTTTACTACTGTTATGAACCGTAATGTATATATCTGTGTTTTCCAATGGTCTTAGATGGCCCTACATTAGCAAAATTACAGTTATGAAGTAGCAATGAAAATAATTCTATGGTTGTGGGTCACCACGACATGAGGAACTGTATTAAAGGGTCGAGGCATCAGAAACATTGAGAACCACTGGTCTAAGCTAATGTTTCCTTCATTGCATCATCTTTTCTCAGCCTTCCTACCCAAGACACTGCACTGACACTCTCTGGTTGGGCACAAAGGCATTCAGTCTCCGCAAAGCATTCACTCTAGGCTTTCTACCAGAGAGCCCTTAACAATGAGCCGCAGTCCCTCACAGATCACAGGCTCATCCCCGCCTCCAGGGAGGGGGTGAAGAGACGAAACATCTTCCATCCTCACGTGGTAGCTCAGCAGGTGCGTCTGCAGGCACCCACGTGTTTTGACGATGTTCAGTTTTGAAAATACTTTGCTAGAAATAATATGGTGTCTTTCTAGAAATATTCTCGGTCATAGGCATGATGCTTCTTCTTGCTAAAATACTTGCATGTTAGGACTCTAAAGAGCAATTTGGTGGTTTTCTTTTCTTTTCTTTTCTTTTTCTTAATCAAAAAGTCATATATCCCAGAAAAGAGAAAGAATGTTGGGGTCGGGGAGAGTTCTGAGGGAATGTGAATCAAATGCAAACATACATGAAAATAGTTCACGGTAGGACAGAAATTAATCAGAAAGTCTCGGTAGGCTCTTTACCTGTTCTCTCTACGACCACGAGGAAAGGCAGCGGTGCCTGACCTGTCAGAAAAAAACAAGCAAACGCTGCCCTCTGTCCCCAAAGAGAGTGAGCGGCTCCATGGTTTCCCTTTCCTTCCCGCCCGCCTCCCGCCCAGGTGACGTCTGACGAGCTGAACAGGATTCTCCAGAACATCATGGCCTGGGTGGTGGCCACGGTGACCAGCATCCTGTACCCGGCCATCACCCGGTACGAGGAGCGGCTGCGGAGCCAGGTCTACCACGGGGACGCGGAGTCCGTCCTGTCCTCCGAGAGCTCCAGCTTCTGCAGCACCTGCAGCGAGGGCTTCACCTGCACCAGCTACGCCGCGCCGCCCCCCAGGCCCTTCCCCGGGTCGCCCCGCACCTTCTCCGTGGACATCGCGCTGCGGCGCCCGCCCACGCCGCTGAAGCCGCTCTCGGCCCACGTGGAGCACACGGTGGTGGAGAAGACCTACCGCGCCGAGGGGCCCCCCTCCTCCCACGTGGAGCGCACGGTGGTGGAGAAGACCTACCACGCGGACGGCCCGCCTTCGGCCCAGGTGGAGCGCACGGTGGTGGAGAAGACCTACAGTGCCCACGGAGGCCCGCCCGTGACCACGACCCTCACCTACAAGACGGCCACCGGCGTCTACGCGCACACGAGGCTCCGCAGCTGCAAGTCTGACAGCTACCTGCTGACCTCCTTCAAGGCAGGCGCCCAGAAGTCCAAGGACGCCACCACGGAGACGGAGAAGGGCGGGCTGGAGGCCCCGCAGCTTCCGAAGCCGACGGCCAGGGCCGAGATCCAGAACCTGGAGAAGATCTTTGTGAACTTCAAGTGCCACCTCAAAGGGGAGACGGAGCTGATTCTAGAGAGCGTCTTCCAGGAGATCATGTCCGACCTCACGCAGGCCGTCCCCGCCATCTCCTCGGTCACCGCAGAGGTGTTCGTCGACCCCTGCGAGCCCGAGCTGGACGAGGTCCCCTCCAACGTGGACATCAGCTCCGTGGCCTCGGACATCGTGGAGAACATGCTGGAGAAGCTGCAGACCGCCGTGGAGAAGAAGTGCGTGGAGATGTTTGTGCAGGAGGACTGGCCGGTGGAGATGGCCCCCTGCTTCCTGACCATCGGGGAGCGCCTCCTGCCGCCGCCGAGCGGGAGGCCGCCGAGCGGGAGGCCGCCGAGCGGGAGGCCGCCGAGCGGGAGGCCGCCGAGCGGGAGGCCGCCGAGCGGGAGGCTGCCCACCGCCCCGCCGGCCCACCCCAGGGAGCCCATGTGCGACGTGGCCGAGGACATGGTGCAGACCATCCTGGGGAAGCTGATGGCTCTGGCGGCCGGCAGGCAGAACGAGCTTCCCCACCTGGCCGCCGCGGCGAAGCCCCCCTGCCCGCCGCGCACCCCCGGCCCCGAGGGCACGTTCCTTCGGAGAGCCGACGCCAGGAAAGCGGGCCCCGAGCCCGAGGCGGCCGGCTTCCTGGCGAGAGAAGGAGTACAGGGCTTGATCTCCAGCATCTTCGCCCAGTCCTCGCTGGTGGGCTACATCGAGGAGGCCATCAGCACCATCCTCGGCTACGTCCAGACCGAGCTGAACAACGAGCGGCTGGTGGCGTCCGAGGAGACGGTGGTCTTCCTGCAGCTGCTGGACGACATCTTCACGCAGCTGCACCAGGAGCCGGTGAAGGCCGAGGCGCCGAGGGGCAGGCGCCCCCGGCCCAGGCCCCCGGCCCACGCTGAGGAGGAGTACCGGCTCGCCGGCACCACCATCGCCAGTGGCACCGAGCCCAGGAGGCCGCTGCCACCCATCAACGTGCCGGGCATGGTCCTGTACTCCGACGAGGACAGCGAGGAGATCGACAGGCTCGTGGAGAACGCGCTGGACTCCTCTCTGAGGAGCGAGAAGGGCAAGTCCCAAGACTGGGGCCCCGAGTGCTGGTTTTCGGAGAGGAGCACCTGTTTCGACAGGAGCAGCAAACCGCCCCCGAGGCCCGCTTCTCTCCGAAGCAAAGTGCTGTTTTACGAGGGATCCAAGACCGAGGCGCCGGGCGCTCACAAGAAAGAGGTTTTCAAGGGAAAAGTCTGCTCCACCAAAGACACGCTGACCTTCAGCCAGGACCAGAAGCGCCAGATACAGAAGGCCTCGGCAAGCGTGATCAAAGGCGTCTTGATGGAGATGCTCAAGAGCCTGTCCTGTCCCCCGGGCACCCCGGGCGGGAGCGCTGGTAAAGCCGCCGCCGCCTTCTCCGGAAAGCCGCCGGGACTGTCGGTGCAGGAGCAGCTGGACCAGCTGTTCTCCGTGTCAGAGGTTAACGAGGTGGCTCAGGACATCACAGAGGCCGTGATCGACATCCTCCACGCGGCCCTGGGCCGCATCCCCGACACCCCCGAAAGCCCTGTCCCGCCCTCGGGGCGCCACACTCTGCTGGACCACAGTCACACCCCCGACGTGGCCAGAGAGGCGCCACACAAGAAGCCGCTGAACATATGGTTTGACAGTGAGACGAAGATGAAGTATCTGTCTTCGCTGGACTTGGGCCCTGACACAGCTTCCTCGCCGGGGTCGCAGGCGTGGGAGCCGCAGCCGGTGGACGACATCTCGGGCGACATTGTGGACACGGTGTTCAAGAAGCTGAAGGGACTCGTCTACCCAAAACTGCAAGTGAGCGCCACCCCGCCCTGCGTGGAGCCATCCTCGCTGCACCGCCAGCTGAGCGCCTACGCGGCCAAGGTGGTGGGCATCGTCCTGCAGGCGATCCAGGACGAGCTGGAGCTCGGTCAGAAGAGCCCGCCGGGAGCCGCGGACGACGACGGCAAGCCCCTCGGAGGCGGAGAGCCCCCGGCTGACGTGGACGACGTGGACTCGCTTGTCTCAGACCTCGGCAAGGACTTTGTGGCCTCCCCACTGCTCTCCTGCATCTGCGAGATGTTGTCCAGCGCACATTCCGACCGGAGCAGCGTGTCCCTCTTGCCCGAGGAGCCCGGGCCTTCCGTGTCCTGTGGGCCGGACGGCATCGGCCAACCGCCCAGGCTTCCGAGCCGGCAGGAGAAACAAGCCTTCTGCCGGTCCTTAGCCACCCCGTGTGCCATCCACAGTGAGCCCGATGGGACAGACTGCAAAGACGGGGGCAAACTGCAGGTGCTGGACAGCATCGGGGAGACCCTGTTAGACATGCTGTGCCACCTCCTGGGCGCCGACCCCGAGGGCCCGCCGCCGGGCGCTCAGCCGCCCCGGGAGAAGACGAGCGAGAGCCAGGGGACCGCCCTGAAGCTGTCGCCTCACCTCCAGCACCTCTCCCGGACCATCCTGGACAGCATCCTGGCCAAGCTGTGCCAGATCGACGCGGACACCGGCTGCGCGGCCTCCGGGGCGACGGTGGCCTCCGAGAGCCTGGATATCGACAGCCCGTCCTTCAAGTCGATCATCGAGGAGATGGCCAAGTGCACCGACATCATCTCCGGCATCCTGTCCAGGATGCTGGGGGACAGTAGCAGGGAGGAGGCGGACGGGAAAGCCACAGCCGTGGCTCCGGGGCCTTGCAGAACAGGGAGCACGCAAGAGACGCATCCCAACAGGCTGACGGCCATGGCCGCCGACATCCTCAACATGGTGTTTGCGAAGCTGGAAGGGTTTGCCAGCGGGAGCCTGGGGGCCCTGGACCCCGTCCGCGAGGGGCAGGGACGCAAGGCCAGCGCCGAGGGGGAGCTGCCGGGCGGGGGCGCCGGCGAGGCTGTGGACACCTGCGAGGAGCTGCTGCTCTCGGCGCTGTACGCGCACGCCAAGAGGGCATCCAGCACCATCCTGAAGGCCATCCAGTCGGAGCTGGGCGGGAGCCCCGGGGACCGGCAGGCCAGTGCCAAGAGCCCATCCCCGGAGAGGCAGCTTCTGAAGAACGTAATCAACCTGATCATAGACGTGGTGTCCTCCGATGTACTCGCTGACGATGCCGAGTCCCAAGAGAGAGCCATGGAGTCCTGCGGGTACCGGCCGACCTACGGGAACTTCCTGCCCGGAGGGGCCGAGCCGGACCCGTGCCTGGAAGATGCTGAGAAGGAATTCGGGGCCGAAGGAACACTCCCGAGGGAAGAGATGCAGCCGGGTTCTCTGAAGCAGTGGGTTCTGGTGAGGACCCTCAACAAGATTGAAGGGAAGCTGAAGGAGCCGCAGAAATCGCCCATCGTGCCCATCATCAGGAACATTTTGAACGAGATTTTCCAGGGGGCTCTGGCCAACCAGCTCAACGTGCGCTCTCTCTCCCGCTCTCCACTGAGGGGCGCCCCGCACGACGTGGAAGGCGAGCTGCCGGCTTCAGCGTCGGTCCCATTCATAGACCAGAAGACGGGCCCTCTGGTGTCCGAGGCCGACGTCACCGTGGTGGTGGGCGATGTGGTCACGACCGTGCTGCACAAGCTGTACACAGCCGCCATGACGCAGAGGGGCGCGGGAGAGAGCAGGTACAAAACCATCACCTTCTCAGCCAACGTCTCTTTCCATGTCCCCGCCCGCGCAGAGCAGTCCTCGGTCGCCATGCTGGATGGGGACCCGTGTCCCGTCCCACCCAGTCTCACGGCCAGAGGAAATGTGGCTGAAGATATCATCCAGGAGATACTGACAAACCTAGAGACCTTCGCCACCTACAAAGTGAGATCTCTCTTTTGTCCCCAGATCCAGTTCACCGTCCCCATGCCTTTCCCCGCGCCGCCAGACAAGAGCATTTTGAGCAAAGCGCTGTCCGCCAAAGGCCTGTACCCGGACGATGGGTTTCCTCCCTACGCCACGGATCACGTTCTGGAAAAGGCCAGCGGGTGCCAACTCTCTTTGAATAAACTGAACTCGCACGCCACAGAAGTGGCCAGGAAGATTCTACAAGGCATCAAGCACGAGTTGGACAAAGAGAGGGAAAGCCCCTTCTTAGCACACAGCTTCGTGGTCTCGGAGGGCATCGCGAGCCAGATCGTGAACACGGTGCTGGGGATCGTCTCATGCAGGGGCAAGTGTGACAAACCTGACTCCGAGGAAGAGCTCCCCGCGGGCCTGCGGGGGGGCATCATCGAACGGCTGTTCAACAGGACCGAGTACCGCAAAGACCTCCAGCTCCAGATACAGGACATCATGGAGAGCATCCTCTGCGACATCTATGAGAAGACGCTGCACCAGAACAACCTGGCCGTTCCCGCACCCGTGCCGAGGGGCCTCCGGGCCGGCCAGCACCCCACCGCCACCGCCGCCGACATCGGGCTGTCCGTCGAGGGCGCCAACACGGTGGTCCCACAACTCTCCGTCCCCAAGTCGGACGTCATGCTGATGTCCAACAACATCGTGGACCTTGTCCTGCACAACCTCAACTCGGCCGTCATGCTCGGCGTGAGGCCAGAACGCGTGCCTCCTCCTCCTCCTCCGGCGAGACTGCCCCTTCCCTTCTGCGACGTGTTCCCACAGGCAGAGTGCCGCCTGCCTCCGCTCATGGGCCCGCAGAGCGACGGGAACGCAGAGTGCTTTCCGTCGTCCGAAAACGGGAGGGCCACGTGTGCCGACGTCGCGAGCCAGATAGCCGTGGTGCAGAGGGACGGCCCCTCGAAGCCCACCCCTGACCCCTGTGAGGAGAACGCTCACTTCATCACCACGACCATTGTGAACCAGCTGGAATCCTTCGCCACCAAGAGCATAGACTCGCTAATCACCCTGCCTCTCCAGCCCACGGAGGAGTCGTTGGTCAGCCCGGGGCTGGAGCCCGGCGAGCTGGAGGACGGCCTTTTTCGAGACCCGAGCCAGAGGGCGTCCGCCGGGAATGTCCTGAAACTGCCGGCGGAAACGGTGCTCCGCCACGAACTCGCAAGTCCCGCGTTTGCGAGTTACAGACAGACACGGGGGCCCCCCCTTCGCCTCCCCCACGCTAGTCTCCAGGAATACGCTGACGTCATCGCCAGTGTCATTCTGAAGCTCATTAAGAACGACCTGGACCTGGAAATCCAAAGGGCGCATCTCTATCCAAACAACATTTCTTTCCAGGAAAACATCGCTGTGAGTGAGATTGTCGACAACACCCTGAGGGTCTTAAACGCCAAGAGGTCGGTGAGGGAGATTCAGTTCTACGCGAAAGACCGCCCCGGTGCGTTTGCCCCGCTGGCCGGGCCAGACCAAGCGCTGCTGGGACAGAGAGAGCGGGACGGGAGCGCCACGTTGCCTCTGTTCTCCCAGTTCCCGTTGGAACAGCGGCGAGTGGAGAGGGAAAGCCAGAGGGCCGTGTTGGAGGACATATTTATGAGGGGTGGGGAATCCAAACAGAGAGAAAAGGACGCTTTGCTCGCTCCGGTGAAAGAAGCTTTGAGGAAAGTGTACCAACAGGTCATAAAGGTCAAAGGCCACTTGCCTCCGTTCAACGAGACCCCCTTCGCGGCGGTGTCTACCTCTAAAACGAAAACATCGGACGTCACACCCAAAACCGTCGTCCAATCACACATTACCAGCGCAGCCAACGACATCGTGGAGAGTGTCTTGGGGGAGATGTACGCGGTGGTGGTGACCTCCTTACACGGAAGTCCCCCCAAGGAAGCCTTTGAAGGCCACGGCGCCTTTCCTACACCACCATCCTGCGTGGGAGAAGCGGGGCAAGCGGGAGGAGGCAGTGATTCCACTGGGATCCTGGTGCCACAGGCCTACCCTTCCCCGGGCGACCAGAACACCGCCCTGCTGGACGGCGGTCTCCAGCAGCCCTCGCCACTGCAGGTGGGGAAGGACCTGGTCCAGATGGTTCTCGATAAGATCACACACTTTGCCGCCATGTACCTGGACGAGGCCCCGGAGAGATGTGCTGACGACTTGCAACCCCAAAGGCTCCAGAGCCTGAAGGTGACCCCGAAGGGCAGCCTCCAGCAAAGTTTTAAAACAAGTCTAAAGGTGAAATCCAAGGTGACTTCTCTGCCTAATTTGAAGACAAAACCGCTCCTCGGCCCTGCAGGTGCCAAGGCCAAAGGCAAGGCCAAGGCGGGGCCGGGGGAGAGGATTCCCAAGGGCAGCCAGTCCAAGACCTGCCTGGGGCTGCCGCACATGCTCACGGCCGGGGACGCCAAGGGCCCGCGGGGTGCCCGGCTGTCTGCCGCGGACCTGAGGGCGCACGCCGCGCGCGTGACCAGCGCGATCCTGGAGATTACCGTGACCGAGTTTGAGAAGGCGAAGCAGTCGCGAGCCATGGTCAGCGTGAAGGCGTTGCCACTGGACCAGATCCTGGCGGCAAGCAGGCTGGTCCGCGCCGTGCTGCAGGGGGTGTACGCGCCCGGCGCCCACGGCCTGGCCCCTCCGGGCGCGTTCTCGGCTCTGGCTCAGGGGGACCTCACGCCCTCCCCCGGACACATGCGCCTGGGGGGCTTCGCCGAGACACGGGCCTGCTTTTACCTGGAGAATGTCTCCTCCCAGCTCGAGCAGATCTTCCCTAAAGATGGGATATTTAAGAAGATGTTTGACAAGTGGCAGGCAGAAGCAAACGACACGGAAAGTGAAAAGTGCAACTTGCTGGTCGTGGCTGAAAATGTTTTGACTGTAATTTCCATGAAATCGAAGGAACTGGAATATTCTCTCTCCCTTCTAAACCTGACGCACCCCCAGGCCTGGGAGAGCGGGCTCCACGGCCTGGGTAAGGGGGCGTCTGTGAGAGCGGAGGCCACCAAGGCACAGATCAACATGTTCGCGAGGGAAATCGTGGAAATGCTGCTCGAGAAGCTGCAGCTGTGCTTCCTGTCCCAGATGGCCACGCCGGGCGGGAAGGAAGCCCCGGGCAGCAGGAGAGAACACGCTGCCCAGAGCAAGCTCGGCTTTCCGGCCAAGCACGCCCTCGGCAGCGGCGGCGTGCCCTTCTACTGCGTGGACCCCAAGGACCCGGCATGGTTGGGCTCTGCCAAGCAGATGGTCCTGGACATGGTGGAGAGGGTGCTGGGCATGCTGGAGTCCTTTGTGGACCTGCAGTTCAAACATACCTGCAAGTACGAGTTTTCCGAGATGGTGAAGATGCCCGTGGAAAACCTGTTTCCGGCCCAGCAGAGGCTGCTGAGCAAAAATATGTTGCCCAAGCCACAGTCGCTGAGAAGGCTGGCTGATGATGCCAGGTCAAATTCTATTATTTCCAAGGAAAACGCACAGAACGTTTTCCTACAGGTTCACGCATTCCACTCAGAACTGCTCACTTGCGCGGTCTCCATCACCAGGGACATGCTGGGTGTCATCAAGAGCAAGCTGGACGGGGAGATAGGCCAGGCGGAGCCCCCAGGCGGCGGGCTGCACGAGAACGTGGCCGCGAGCGAGATCATCGGCGCCCTGATGGACCAGTGCACGCACGTCAGCGAGTCTCTGATCACCAACCTCCCAAGTCTGTTCCCTGAGGTGGAAAACACCTACATCGTTAATCACCTTGCCTTGGCCACTGATATGAAAGTTCCCAAGGCAAAGGAAGTCCATTTTGGGAGCGCATCTCCGCAGGTTAGCGTTCCCGGGTTGGCGTTTTATCCTGAAGATGGCGTGAGGGAGAGGTGCAGGGCTCCACCCAGCGTGCCTCCCTATGCCAGAGGCCCTGGCAAAGGCCCGGGCAGAAGCCCCGGGCCCGTGGGAAGGCCTGACTCGGCGAACGCACCAACATCCTCTAGAAATAAGGTCCCGGGCTGTGGCCCCCAGGAATGGCCATTCAATCAAGCCGTGCTAGGAGCCGGCTCCCTCCCCGAAGGCAGCATCTTACAAAAGCTGTCCAAGAGGGTGACCGAGTCCACAGAAGAAGCATTAAAGCAAGGCCTGTCCTTCTTAGAAATGGGAAAAGCTAAAAACCCTAAAGTGTTTCATTATGGTACCCCAAAGCCAGCGGGCGCGCCTGACCAAACTCAGACAACCGTTTCTCCGCTCAAGATATGCTTGGCGGCAGAAAACATCGTCAACACAGTGCTGTCCAGCTACGGTTTCCCTGGTCAGCCACCCGTTAGTGAGCGCACGGAGACAATTAAACCGTTTTTCATGTCGGCGCCAAGCCCGGGAGGACACGGGGGTGACAAAAAGAGCGTGCTTACCATGTGGGGTCACAGGGCCAGCTGCATCCCCAGAGGAGGAAGCAGGAACCCGGAAGCCAGCAGGGAAGACTTTTCTTTACTGCAGAAGTGGGAAGTTAAGAGTGACCCAAAGGTCAGGACTGTGAAGGAATTTGAAGTCATTGCTTTTGCTGATCATGAACTGGGTCCAAATGAAATTAATTTGGTAGCAAGACATGTAACCACGTGTGTGGTCACCTATTTCCAGAACTTCAAATCTAGAGGTAAGCAAAAGAGAGAACTTCCTGTAAATGTTGATGTAATTTAGAAGGAAAAAAAAGATGTGTTTAAGGGTCTCTAGAAGGAGCTGCCTGGACCATCTTTCTGAAAGTGGGGGCGTGGTACTCCTTACTGCGTCAGGACCCTGGCAAAGAGTCCCACGTTCACGGGGTTGGAACGTGGAAGGGTGCGGTGGTCATTTCCCCGCAGCGCAGATGGAGGTAACAGATCTATGTGAGAGCCGGGTGGAGCACGGGGCATGGGCTCCAAAGAGTTTTTAACATTCTCATGTGTGGCTTCTTCATGCCAAAGCCACAGCTAGCTGATTGCAGGTTAGCAACTCGTGTTTTCAAGGTGTACAGGTGACATCTTTGCCAGTATTAGTCACAGTTTATAAGAGCAGTGGCATTGAACATCTGGGGTTTAATTGATTTTGTTTGTTTTTTTTTAATATACCTCTATTGATTTCAGAGAGGAAGAGAGAGGGACCAAGAGAGAGAAACATCAGTGATGAGAGAGAATCACGGATTGGCTGCCTCCTGCATGCCCCACACTGGGGATCCAGCCCGCAACCCAGGCATGTGCCGATGACCTGGAATCCAACCACGACCTCCTGGTCCATAGGTTGATGCTCAGCCACCGAGCCGCACCTGGTTTTGTTTACATTGTGGTATTCTTACATTTCTTTCAAGTATAGTACTATAGACATATTCTTACAAAGATAGTTTCACTCTCTTTCTAAGAATGCTTGCCTGCACATGTTAGTTTAACCACATGGAATAGCCATTCTTGCATGTCCAAACTGTTGATTATTGGCAATTGCATAAAATGGAATGTGATAATACTGTAATAGCCCTGAGCTGGATCAATAATTCCAGTTACCAGTAAGCTACATCAGCAGTCCAGAACCATCACTTGCCCAACATTCGAAATATGAGATCACATACCACCAATCCTGCCACCTGCGGGCAGAGGTCATTTTCCAGCCCTAAAACTGGCATTTTTCCGAGGTGAGCAGTTGTAACGGACCGTCTCCCAGTATGGCCTGACTGGACTTAATAGAGGAAAACAAAGCCACCCAAATCAGACTTCTTTTTTTCTTTTTTAAAAAATATATTTTATTGATTTTTTACAGAGAGGAAGAGAGAGGAAGAGATAGTTAGAAACATGGATGAGAGAGAATCATCAATCAGCTGCCTCTGGCACACCCCCCACTGGAGATGTGCCCGCAACCAAGATACATGCCCTTGACCCGTATGGAACCTGGGACCTTTCAGTCCACAGGCCGATGCTCTATCTGCTGAGCCAAACCAGTTTCGGCCAAAGCAGACTGCTGACTCCATCCCATTGGTGACCAGTGCCTTCCAGTGATCTCGCTCATGGTCCTCCTCTCATGTAGAGTTTCCTTCTTCGCTCCCTCCATCTCATCATGGGATCCTCTTCTCAAGCAGTCAAAGCTCAGCTAAACCACCTCCACAGAGATCTGTCTCCTTCCACACGCAGGGGTGGAATAGATGAGTACGTCCTGAGGGAGTGATGAGAGCCAAGACTGGCACCCTGACCAGCCCTCCAAGAAGCTGGCCTCCCTGATTTGGGTGTACGGTTTGCAGTAAATATGCTGTTGAGTGGAAGAGAGAAGGGAGTCCTCCACCTGGCTGGCTTGGCCTCCCATTTTAGTGACAACTTACCCTCTGGGGGTTAGTCAAGTCCTGCCATGGCCTCTCATCCCTTACACTTCCGCAGTGAGCACAGTTCTGCTCCGTCGTGTTCTTATGGCCTTACAACTCCTTGGTGTCCTGAGTGATAACACACAGCACACCATGAAATGGTTTGATGCAAAACATGTCCTCAGTAATTACACGAGGTCCCCCTTTGTCCCTGTGGACATGCGAGGATGTAAAACTCATCTCTTGAAACTCATGTTTCTGCCCCAGAATTTCTAACTTCTTAGAGCCCCTAACCATCTAAAGCAAGTGAAACACCAGCACTTGACTTAAAATTTTAAATCTTCAGTATTGATTCTCTCAACTTCCTGGCTAAAGCCATGATTCCACAAGGTGGGAAGTAAATACCAGAAGAAAACCCAATTTCTTTCTTGACTAAATTTTTCTTTAGTGAAGTGTTCCCAAGGTGAAATTCATATGTAAACAGTGACTGATATATTGAACTTTCCACACTTCTCTTAATGCATGCTACAAATTGTATTTTCCTTTTGAAGTGTCCAGTGAGATGATGGCAATTATTTCTGCGCTGTCAAGGAAAACGTATGCGTCAGAGCAGCGTCTAAGAAGCATATACGACGATTCTTCGCTTTGCCAACTTTGTGAACATCTCACCGAGTCTGTCATTTGCCATTTAATTTCGAGCATTTCTGATGGCATCCAATGTGGCAGAGAAAGGGAGAAGGCATGGGAAAGCCAAACTTCAGGCTATAACAAGATTATTTCCATTAATTCGCAAGTATTTGGAAACAGGTCGATTTCTATTGGAGATCTTGCTTTAAATATTTCTGAAATCATTACCAAAATCCTTTTCAACAGTAACATCATAGAGCCTGACATTGCACAACAAATGTTTTCTTCCCCAAAAAAGTACATTTATTGCCCAGGAGTCACTGCCACTGACTTTGACCATCTCTTCCAGGATCTCTTAATAGGAGTGATTCACGTCCTGTCCAAAGTGATAGGAGTAACTCACCACCTTGAAGGCAATGGAAGGAGTAAACCAGTGTCCATGCTCAGGAGCAACAGCGTGTCCATGTGCAACAAAACAAACACCATGAAAAGGCAGATAAGCTGCAGGAATTTGGAATCATCTACTCACCAAAATGAACATCTCATTCAAAAAGATAAATTGAATTACCTGGCATACAAGTTAGACAGAATCGTCAGTAGCCTAAAAACTCATGAATCCAAAGAAGTCGTCAATAAGGTCTTCAATATTGTTTTAGATCTATTTTTACCAGATGAACGCCGAGGTGAGCCCATGGATTCTTACGAAAAAGCAAGGAAGTCTTTATCATCCTCGAGTAATAACGTAGGGCTCACCCCAAAATCCGTTTTTCTTCTCAACATCGTGTGTGAGAAACTTATCAGGACGCTTTTGGAAAAATGCACCAACACTGTATTTCTTGATGATGGCCCTCCTTCTGATGGAATCTCTGCCGAAGAATGCCAGCTTTTTAAAATGCTTCAGGGTGTAGAAGACGAGGACTTGGGTGACTGTAAGGGGGCAACAGGCTGTGAACAGCTCCAAGGAGACTCTACGTCAGATCTTTTGGAAAATCTGGCAGAAATGGATCCAGATGTATTGTCATCAGACTCTATGCTCACCCTCATTTCCCACAGCTTGGTGAAGTCCCTGATGGACAAACTGTGTCAAAATATTCAACTCCCTCACAGCACACCTGGTACAAGCAAGCATTTAGAGGGCAGAACACAAGAAAGACAGCTGGGTTTTACAAAAGCAAAAAGGCCAGGATTCACAGGATTCAGACAAGGTAAAGGTTCTGCCGGCCACACCAGTTGTGACGGTCATGCTCTGACCGGACCCCTAAATCTCTCCAGCATGGTCCACCCAAAAACACAATCACCGTTTGGCAGGAAGTGCTCAGCGAGTGCCTCTTCTGCGTCACCACGTAGAAGGCAGGAAACAGCCATCCACAACAAGCTGCGTCTGGGGAGTGGGTGTACGAGTATTTATTCGGCCACATTTTTGGAGGAAATAATTTCGGAACTGTTCTTCAATCTCTCCACTTCCCTGTGGGGTGGCAATGAGAGCATCAGCGAGGCCCGGCTCTGTGAGATGAACACTCTGCTTGTCAACAATGTGGTGAGGGAGTTCGACCGCGCGCAGGTAGCCGTCCTGCGGAGTGTGGAGGAGAGGCTGTACTTCCCACCCGTCCAAAAGGCCCTGGTGCGCAGGGTTGTTGACTCGGTTTACCCCGATGTTCTCCAGAAATACCAGTTGAAAGTGACCTGCGGGGTGAACCTGGCACACGACTACACCTCGCTAGCAGGACAAATAACGAACGGCATTCTGTTAGAGGTCTTAGACTACCAGCTCCCGCCTTGCTTTCGGGAAAATCTCAGCCCTGGCTCCCCCTGCCCCCTCGAGGCGGACAGCATCCTGCGGAAGCTGCGGGGGTCCCTGAGGGAGTTTGCCTGCAGATCCAGGTCCTCGGGAAGCTACAGCACCCGGGTGCCGCACTCCTTTCTGGAGGACACCACCAGGAGGCTCCTCGCTCAACTCACTGCCCCGCCCAGCAGGGCTTCCTCGGCGCTGGGAAGGAAGGAGTGCGTGAGTTCAGATTTCAGCGAGATGTCCAACTGTATCATCAACAAGGTCCTCTCAGCCATTTCCAAACACAAAATTTGGTTCACTATTTGTGACAACCCACAGCTATGTGCAGGGAAAAACACCCAGAAGATGGCGGACGCAGTGTATCGTAACCTTACACAGATGTCTGACTCCCTTGTCGCCATCCAGAATGGCCTCGTGAGCCAAAGCCCAGGTATGGTGGACCGGATAGCCAGTTTTATCATCCAGGAGATCGTCGAGAACCATCTCCAACCATTTTTATGTGAGGAAGGCTTGTCCCGTCCAACAACGCCACTGGACGCAATCTCAAACATGGTGAAGCAAGTCCTCAGTGAGGTCACGGAGTCACACAGGCCCACGAGGCCTTTGCCCGCGGGCGCCCACCCTGGCACGTTCATAGGGGAAATTGTGGCCAAACTCTTAGCGAAGATTTTCAGCTCCAAGCAGAACACGGACACCGAGCTGGAAAACTTGGCACAGAAAATAGTGAGCTCCATAAGCACCCAGTTTGACAAAGCCACAACTCACATGCTCTGTGGCAGCAGGGAGGGCACTGGCCCCTCTGTGGGCACAGACATGGTGGATGAGCTCGTCTCCTCCATTTACAAAAACGTGTTACAGCAGCACGGGCTGGACCCCGAGGTGGACACCGAGTCCAAAGACGGGGAGACGTTTGTGGAAAATGTCACCAACCTAACCGTCGCAACCATCTCCGATTACCTCCTCCACCCGCTGTTCTCTGGCGACTTGTCCTCCTCCCGTTCTATCTCCACAGCTGAGAACGTCGTCAGTAACGCCAGCAAACCCTCCACGCCGAGCCCGAGTTTATCTCCGTATAACACCTTGCTGCCGTACACGTTTTTGGAAGACATGATCAGAGTACTATTGTCTAGAATCTTTTCTACCCCATCCGACTTTGTTCCAAGCACGGAAACTCTAAAAGACAGGCCACAAGTGAATTTCAACGAAATCGCTTCCAACATAATCAGTGACATTAGGATGAAAATCTCTCAGCATGACATCCAGTGCTCAAAGGACGAGGAAGAAGCCAAGCTTGTTTACTCAGAAGATGATGTCCAGCACCTGGTGGACAACGTCTTCGAAAACATCTTACAGAACTCCGAATCTCAGGAGTCGGTTGAACAAAATATCAAAAGCAGCAATAATGTTCTCATCGACAGAATAGCAGGTTTCATCATCAAACATATTTGTCAACAGCACCTGCAGCCATTTGTGGAACGGAAGGCACTGCCTTCCCCCACAGACACCCTCCCTGCCGTCCAGTGCAGGCCCTGGCCCCCTGCCGTCGAGGGCAGGCCCTGGCCCCCTGCTGCTGAGCGCAGGCCCTGGACTCCTGCCCCCAAGCACAAGCCCTGGCCCCCTGCTGCAGAGCGCAGGCCCTGGACTCCTGCCCCCAAGCACAAGCCCTGGCCCCCTCCCGTCGAGGGCAGGTCCTGGGCCCCTGCTGCAGAGCGCAAGCCCTGGCCTCCTGCCGTCGAGCACAGGCCTTGGACTCCTGCCACCGAGCGCAGGCCTTGGACTCCTGCCCCCAAGCACAAGCCCTGGCCCCCTCCCGTTGAGGGCAGGCCCTGGACCCCTGCCACCGAGCGCAGGCCCTGGACTCCTGTCCCCAAGCGCAAGCCCTGGCCCCCTGCCCCCGAGTGCAGGCCCTGGCCTCCTGCCGTCGAGCGCAGGCCTTGGACTCCTGCTGCCGAGCGCAGGCCCTGGCCTCCTGCCGTCGAGCGCAGGCCTTGGACTCCTGCTGCCGAGCGCAGGCCCTGGCCTTCTGAAAACGTCTACTCGGCAGCGTTTCTGGAAGACGTGATCTTCGGGGTTTTAAGGAAGATATTCCACAGGGTGTTGGGCATCGTGCAAACAAAACCAGCAAAAGACTCGGAAGACGAGCTTCTGGACAAAGCCAGGAAGCTCATATATCTGATAGCGGAAGAGCTCTCAAGAGCCCAGGTCCGCATCCTGGAGGACGCCGAGGATCAGTGCTGCTTGCCTCCGGTGGAGAGCGACATCCTCCAGAGCATCGTGGACATGGTGTTCAGCAAAGTGCTGCAGGAATACGAAATGGACATCCTGCCTGATTACGATTTTCTAAATGACACCAAGACCTTGGCAGCCAGGGTGACCAAAAGCATCCTGGCCCACACGTTTGATTTCCAAATTCACCCGAAGCTGGTGGGAAAGCTCCATTTCAAGTCGTACACCACACTGAACGTCGACGTTCTGATAAAGAAAGTCCATGGTTACATCACTAAGTCACGGTTCCAGAGACAGGCGTCGACCATCTATACCACCATGCTGTCGCACACCCACCTGGAGAAGGTCGTCGCGCAGCTGGTCTCGCAGGTGGGCCCGCTGGCCGCCAGCGCGGAAGGCAGGGGCACTTCCAAGTCCCAGTTAAGTGATTCCGTCCTAAAACTTATAAACGAGATCATGTCGATCATTTCCAAACACGCAATCTGCATCGTCAAACACGGTGGTCAAAAACAGAGCATGATGTCCGAGAGAGACATCCAGTCCATGGTGGATTCCATCTACGCCGAGCTTTCACGCTCAAAGCTCTACCAGTCTCTCACAAAGGATAAGAAAGGGATAAGTAAGATGCCTGTTTCGAAAATAGCGAGTTTTATCATCAAGGAAATATTTAACCATCACCTCCAGTCGTTTTTACCTGGAGATAAGACATGCCTCCCTGCTGTGGTTGACCTTGAGAATAAACAGATAGCAGCTGATGCTCGGCAAGGGTCGCTGGCTCTCGTCGTGAACTCAGCAGCCTTCCTGGAGGAGGTCATTGCCGAGCTGCTGTGTAAACTCCTGTACGCATTCTCCCACAACGTCCTGGCGGCCGAGGAGCCGGACATCATGAAAGGCAAAATCACTGACATCGTGACGACCTTAGTAAAATCGATTGTCCTGGAGTTCACCACGTCGGAGATCGTGGTTTCGAATTATTTGGACAATGACATGTGCTCTTCCGCAAGATACAAAGAAATGGTTCAAAAAACAGCCAACCTGATTTATGAGAAGATACTGGGCGAATACAAATCTCTGATTCAGGTCTACAAGGTCATGCAGAGGGACACGACTTCCTTTGGCAGGAAAATTTACCATTTACTGTTGGAAGAAATCTACGATCAGCAGGTGCAGTCATTGGTGTCGGGAGAACTGGTGTCCTCTTCCTGCGCGTCCCTCCAAACCGATAACATCATCCGAAACGTGCTGAACGTCATCGCCAAGGCCAGCCCCGCAGCCCCGTGCATGACGGTGCTGCCGCGCTCGCTGCTGGAGAACATCGTGTCCAAGCTCGTCGGGAGCATCTTCCCCCCCGCCCACCGGGCGCGCGAGCCCAGGGAGGAGGGCGCTTCCCCGGACGACGACGGGTTCCTGGCTGCAGCCTCAAAGCTGACGGATGACATCATCAAAGAGATAACGGAACATGAGGTCCGCCTCGCCACGGCGGAGGAGAATGCCGAGAGCACCCCGCTGGATGTGATCGAGAACTTGGTGAACTCGATATGTAACAATATCGTGAAAAAACCTGAATTTCAAGCTGAAGTGAAAAAGGACGCAGACAAAAAGGCAGGCTCGTTCCTCAGCAAAGCCGCAGGTTTCATTATGAAGGAAATCATGGACCACCATCTGAGGCCATTTTTGCAGGGCGACGGGGGCTCTGCACTCACCAAGCCTGGGAAGGAGAAGACTCAGACTTCTCTCTACTCAGCTACATTTTTGGAAGACGTAGTGGTTGACCTTGTTCGCAAGTTTTACTCCCTTCTAAGTATTACGGAAGAGCCTAAGGAAAAAGGGGCGCCAGAGACAGACCTGGTGGGGTTGGCTGTAAAATTCGCAAACTCTCTGATAGGAGAATTTAGGAAAAGCGAAGTGAAAGTTCTACCGAAGGCTGAAGAGGTCTTTGCTTTCCCACCGGTTGATAAGGAGACGGTGGATAAGATATCCAACTTTGTGTATGACCAGTTCATAGGGAAGTACGACTCGGATGACATTCAGAAGGATGAAGAAGGTCACGAGCTCATCGAAACAATTGCTGGACTAGCCCAAAAGGCAATCTCTGCCTTCAAAATCCAACCCCTGTTTTCAGGAGACTGGTCTTCCACCTTCTTCTCATTTCTAAACCCGGAGCCCATCACCCAAAGGGTTCAACACCTGCCACAGAAAACCGCTGCCCCGTGTAGCACGGGCCCCAAAGGAAACCAACTGGCTTTCTCAGTGCAATCCTACAAATACACTTCTCCCCCCTCGGGCCGGAAGCAGGCGCCAGGAACTTCAGAACCGGACAGAGGCACGGCAAACAGAAAGAGGAGTCTCCCGAGCGAGGAGATGCCCGTGAGAAAAGGCGAGTCCCCAGACCAGAAAGTGGCCTCTCTGACGAGAACAATGAAGTGTAACCTGGTGAGCCTGTTGTTGGGGTCGCCAGCAGGTGTGGCAACTAAAAAGAAAGAGAATGAAAAGAAAGCACAGGTTTCAATTAAAAGTTACACTGAGGATGCAGCAACGATTACCTCTCCGACGATCAGCGTGAAGAGTAAAGAGAGTGAGAAGTCAGATCTGAAGGGAGCACAGAAAAACAATGAGCCAGAGAAGAAAAGCAAGTCGGTGTCAACGGGCGAAGAGAAGCAGCACGCTGAGGTGTACACTCAGACCCCGGGAGCTGCCGTGGCGACCGAGTGGAAGGAGAAAACGGTTGGGCCGGGTTTGAACCAGAGAGGAATGGATACATTGAGAAAGGAGTATGAGCCCTATCTGTTTCCTGTGCAACTCAACACAGCAGATGCATCGACCACCACGGAAGGCCTGGTGACTCCAAAGCTGACCTTCGTGGACAGAAAAGGCAGCCGCCCCCTGGTCGATATAAACAAACAAGTTGCGGACTATGAATGCGTCCAGAGTATCACTGAGAATATTTACGACAATATCTTAGAAACCTATTTCGCTCCAGAATCAGAACAGTCACACGCCCAACATCCCCCTGGCGATAAGGTTCAGGTCCCCCAAGAGGCCCACAAGGATTTTGCCAAGTCTGTCTCCGTCAGGGACTTGTCCCTCTCGGGCGGCAAAGACCTCCTTGCCCCGGAGCAGGAGGAAGAAGAGTACAACAAGGGAGCGAGAGAGAAAGAGAAAAAACAAGGGGGAGGGAAAGAGAAAGTGGAAGCGAAGGAAACTAAGAACGAGCCCAGGAAACCGGACAGCGCTCAGAACCCTCCGAAAAGCAAGCCTGGGATCTTCCCCGCAAAACTTCTGGAAGACGTGATCATCGAGATGGTGAACAAGCTGATCCTTGGTGTCTTGCCCAAAGCACAGACGGCTGGCAGAGGCCAGAGTGCGGGTGGCGGCCGGCACCAAGCCGACCTCCATGACACGGCCATGCAGCTCCTGGACTCGATGCTGAAGGAGCTGTCCAAGGCACAGATCAAGGTGTTCAGGCCAGAAAGGGAAAGCCCGCTGGCCCCACCCGGAAGCAGAGGGCCGCCCGCTCCTAAAGGGCCTCCCGAGCAGAAAGAGCCCAGGGCGGCGGCGAGCGCCTCCCCTCCCGCCAAGCGCGCCTCGGCTGCCGGGAAAACGTCACAAGTGCACAAAGTGATGAAAAAATTCCCTCTGGAGGTGCTGTCCTTTCTGGATAGGATCCCGGCCGTCGATAAGTCATTGGTTAACAAAGTCGTTCACTCTTCCGTGTGCAGTATTTTGAAGGAATTCAAGTCTCCAGACTCCCTCCGCCAGACTATAAAGAGCAACGGGGGAAATATAGCGAAAAGACTGACCAGTGCCATGATCCGTGAGGCGTTTCAGCACCAGCTGAACTTGGAGCCCAGCGACCGGGTCCCGGCGGCGGCATGCCTGCCTCTGGAACGTAAGGACGTTGTCCGAAAGGTCCAGAAGGCGGTTCGGACGGCCAGCAAGGAGTGCCAGACGTCCTCGCCGTACACCATCCTGCTGCCCCACGAGTTTCTTCACAACGTGATCTCTGCGCTTCTGCATAAGATTTTCTCCATCGCGCCCAAAACCACAGCAGACGCCACCCCGGAGGGCGGGTGGCTCACGGAACTGGATTTCCTCCAGGTGAAGCTGCTGGGCATCGTCATGGCAGAGATCTCCAAGGACGAAGACATGACCATTCGGTACGTGGAGTCCCTGCACCCCAATGATGAGGAGGTCACCCAGCTGGTGGCCCTTTCTATCTACGAGAACCTCCGGTCCCAGTTCGGGTCGCAGGAGACCATACGCAAGTGCGTGGCCAGCGGCTGCCGGATCCTCTCGGAGTCCATCGTGGAGCTGGTGCTCCGGGAAGTGTCTGGGAACCAGCTGCAGAGCTATTTTTCGGGAGAGCTGACGCCGTGCCAGTGCGCGGAGGTGGACAGCATCATCGAGAACATCCTCAAGGACGTCCTCCGCAGCACGGACATGCCCCAGCCTCCGCCCACGCCGGCCCGAAGGCTGCATTACAACGTCATGGAGGAGATCGCCATCCAGTTCCTATGCAAGCTTTTATCGGTGTTCCCCAAGGTGGACAAGAAAAGAAACAAATCTCTGGAAACTGAAATGCAAAACATCATGTCCAAAATATTAACTTCCCTGCAAGAATTTATCTCGAAAAGCAAGATCAAGCTCATACCACCAGCCAAGGAACTGCCTACGGTGCCGCTAGCGGACAACAAAACGATCGAAAAGGTCGTGAATTCTGTCTACAGCCGGGTGTTAAAGCACTCCGGCTCCCACACGTCCATCTTCAAAGACTTAATGGGGAAGAGCAACGTCCTCTCTGACATCATCGGCTTCTTGATGGTGAAGGAGATTTCCAATTCTAAATTTCAGCCGCAAGGAGAGGAAGAAGTATCAAGCTCAGAACTGGTTCTGGAAGCGGTCAAAATTATGGAAAAGGTGGTCAAAATTGTCGATGAGTTTAAGCCCCAGGACAAGTCTTCCTCCAAAAAGGGTTCCACGTTGGATGCCACATGTTTAGAGGAAGCATTGGCCCTGTTCTTGGCCAAGTTAGTGAAGTTGCCGAGTGCCTCCAGCAAAGACGCCAAGAACTTGTCGAAGTCCGAGTTAAATAAAATTGCATCTCAGCTGACCAAATCTGTGACTGCCGAGATTTCCAAAAGCAACATTAGCCTCGTGGCCGCTGACTCTGAAGGGCAGGTTTTACACCCGAAAAGTATCGAAATGATCTCTCAGGTTATCGACTCCATCTACAGCAATGTGCTGATCCAGTCCGGGAGCTACAAGGACCTCTACTACGACATCAGAGGCACCAACAGGGTCTTCCCTAAAAAGGTGGCTGACCTAATCGTCCACAGCGTGACCGAGGTCTCCTTGGGCACGGACACAGATCGCTCCCAGAATCCCAACGCGGACCCCTTCGGAGACCTGGATGTGAACAGAATTGTTCAGAAGGCGCAAGAACATGCTTCCAACATGAGCCCTGACTTGAAGAATGAAAGTCCAGAACAAGTTTCATCTGGGGAGGATATGCCGATTAAAATTGTTCCCCACATTGGGAATAAGCCCCTCAAAATAGACCCCACCATTCTCTCAGAACACTTAGCGGTCATCTCAGTAAAAACTCTACCTCTGGAGAAGCTTCAGGTGGAGTGTCTAAGGAACACTGGACACAGCATTGCAGAAGTGAGGAGAGCATCCGTACAGGGGAAATGTCACTTCACCGCAGACACAACCAATGGGGAAAAGATAAAGAAAGAGAGGCGCACCTCCTTGACCAGGTCGGGGCGTCTAGACGTGAAACCCTTAGAGGTGAGTGTAAATGCAGCCACAGGGAAACAGGGTGAGGTCTGAGACGAGGGGGCTCTGTGACTCTCCCCCTCCATAGATATTTGGGATGCTTTCTGTTGGGTCAGCCCTGCAGGCATCTGACTTTCTGGGACTTCGACACAGGTGGTTCCCTCTCACGGTCTCAGGCTAGTGTTCCTAAGACAATCCTTTTAAACTGTTTTGTTTTGTTGCTGTTTTTCTGTTTGTTTGTTTTTAAATAGAAGGGGGATACAGGGACATACCCTTCACAGCACAAGCAGGCTGAAGATGGCTATAATCTTCATTTGAAGATTCAGAAGAAGCACAATCTCATGTGGTTCCTGTAGTTCTTACCATGGATGTCAAAAGGCATCTCAAAGGGACAGCCAGGCTATCAGGACACGTGAAGGTTCAAAAACTATCTAACATAGCTCAGGCTTACAGCTCCACCACCGTAGTAACCTTCTGGCTTTTAGCAACATGTCAACAAACAGTAGACGACAAACTCTTAGATTATACTTGTTTCTTACTATTCAACCTTTGTTACATTAGTCTTATTCAATTTCTTCTATACTGCAAAGAAGTACAGTTATTCCCTCCTTTCCCCTTTTCCTGGACCCAGCAGCCCGGATGCTGCCAGGTTTACGACCCCGAGTCCTCTTTCTGTAGATCTATCTCTGCCCTGCCACCCACACTTGGGGCCCACACATTAAACCTGGGACTATAAAATGCCAAAATAATGTCCTTGTTGCAAGGACACTGCGCCACTGAGGATGGGGTTGTCTGGCCAGTAGGGTGACGCTGATCCACTGCACATTCATTAGTCATCTGTATCAAAGCCATTGTTCTAATGGTGCTCGTTCACAGGATGACTATGTGTGTCCAGGCATGTAATCTGTGGTCTGGACAATGAGGTGGGGGAAAAACGTATAGAACCATGCTCCCTGAAGCACACACTGGAGGTGAACTTCCCAGCCCCACCCTGTAGCCCCCGGGACTCAGTCTCAGGTTCCGTAAACATGTTACCGAGGGCTTTATGTTTTCATACCCAGATAACCGAGTTTATCCTGGGCTGCGACCCTAATTTCATCTACTACATCCTAAACCTTTTGGACCAATCCTTTCTGGCTCAAACATTCCTGTTCTACATGGGTTCTCATCATTGCACTAGCGTGCAACTTGGTAGTCTTCCTTTACTTACAAGTACTCTCTCGGGAGCAAGAGGGTGTGAACAGACTGTGAAGTAACACTACTCAAAATCAGTTTTTAATTATCGGTAGAAATTTCTGTCACAAATAGTACCCTTAGTTACCAGCTCTCTTTGCTTAAGTCTTTATAGACTGAAGGAAGCAGGAAGAGACTACTTAACCCAAACAGTTACCCCGTCCTCTGTCCTCTAAGGGGAAGAAAAGCCATCCTAAACATAAAATTTACAAGTAAAGACGCAGACATAGTGAGCTCTGTTAAGACATGTGACCTGAACGAATCTGGGTATGACCAATACGGTCTCTCTCCGCATGGAGGAACCAAAGACAGAAGACAGAGACCCAGACCACTGTCAGCTCCACCTCCGGGCTTTCCTTTCTGCTTGGAGGTGACAAATTCCCACACATGAGGCACATACATTATTAAAACCACGCACAGTAACAAATCCCAAAGCCACATAGAAGGACTTCGGATTTTCTCAGCCACCAGTTCCCTCCACTAACACAGAAAATCAAAATGGATTGTTTTCATTTCCTAAGAAGCCAGTTTCTATATGTTGTTATATATTCTTTTAGGACACTATTTTCTGAAAATGAACTTACCACGTTGCAAAGGCATGTTGAGGTCGACGATTAGTAAGTCAGTTTAGAGGCTGTGTGGAATCATCAAAGGCTACAAAAGTGGGGAAACTCTTATTTATATTTAATCATCCATGTCTTTGACTGTCTTTTGACACGAATAGAAAGTGAGGTTTGGTGAGGGAGGCGAGAAGAGTGGAGATGTATGTTCTAAACATTCTTTTGAAAAATACATGTCCAGAGAACCAGGGGCAGAAGGATAGGGATCAAAATAAAAAACGTTCACAATTTTGGTATCAATCTTTTAAAAATCAAAACTAGATGATAACCAGGTTTTTACTGGGGAATAAAACGTTCCTCTGTGGTTTCTTATCTAGAATTTTTGAAAAATAGATTACCACGGCTACTTCTGTTACAAAACTTCAGAAGTAAGTGGATAAAAAGTAAATTATGCTGTAGCAAAATATCAAGTTTAAGAAAAAAAGACCTGTTACAGACCTTCTATACTCTGAAGTAAGTCGTGGGAGATTAATATGATCTCCGAGTGCAAAAGAGATGATGGCAGACACCAAGCATTTCTCATAATTTCCATTTGATTCTTCTTAAAATATTGCTAACATACAAGTGAGTGGCAGGGAAGGGAGCGGTATTTAAATTGAAACTATAAATCATGCTGACATGGCTCTAGGACCATAGAACGATAGGGAAAAGGGGCGGAGGCACTTGTTTTTAATATTTATTGTCACTTCCATTTCAGCCTGTTGGCCGAAATTCCTTTCAGAATGTAAGGAAGCCTGATATCTCCAAGGTGGAGCTTTTGAAAGATGTTCAGGGCAAGCAAGATCTTCTCATCCGATTAGTAGCTCATGATATCGAAGCTAAGTCGGAAAAGTACGTAGGTGAGGAGGCGGCGACTGATGACTATGAGTTTGTGCTGAGAAAGGACATCAGAGAAGAAAAGGGTGAACAGCTTTTTGATGACAAAGCTAAGGGGGCCGACACGGAGAGCCCAGAGCTGACCTGGAAGCCTCCCGGAGGGCCCAACGGGAGGGCCATCAAGCTGGACAGGTCCACCAACTCCACCATCATAGCCGTCACCGAATCCTGCTGGGGGATTGAGCCACAGTGCGAGGTGAGTGAGTGAGCAGGACTGCCCCGGGACCAGACAGGTACGGAGGAGGTAGAAAGCTTCAGAAACCCTGCCCAAAACACACCTTCCTTAGGCAGAGAAGAACACGAAAGTGGTTCCCACCGTCTCTGAGCCTGGTGATGTTCACAGGGTAAGAGAAAAGATTAACAGGCGAAGCCACAAAACTCAGTGGAGGGAGCGCAGGTCTCAGACAGAGCCCTGGGTTAGTTAGAAGCCCCCGGAGGGCAGACGGTGGGAGAAACTGTGTGGGAAAAATGAAAGCTAATTACTTATACCTGTTACTTAATGGACGCCAGCCTTTACTGTATTTTAGCTAATAAACATCCACTGAAGATTCTATGCAGGTAGGATATAACCAGAGGAAGGGCCAAGGCAGGGAGAAAATAAAAGATCCACACACATTCAGATTATCTAGATTTGCATTGAAAATTATTTGAGGAAATAATAGCTCCAAACATCCCTAATTCTGAAAAGGAAATAGACAGGCAGGTTCAGGAAGCCCAGAGAGCAGAATGAAGACCCAAAACAATAAAACTCCTTGCACCTTCCTTGGCACCCGTTGAAGATTCTACGTGGAGAAGCCTTATGCAGGTAGTATACAAAAAGCCTTGATGTTTGTGTGGGCCTGACTACAAATGCAAGGGAACAAAATAAAAATGGAAAAGTAAATGAAAGGGACTACAACAAAACAAAAGGCTTCTGGTTCAGTGAAGGAAACCATCCTTAAAACAAAAAGACAGCCCAGCCAGCATGGCTCAGTGGCCTATGAACCAGGAGGTCATGGTTTGATTCTTGGTCAGGGCACATGCCCAGATTGTGGGCTCAATCCCCAGTAGGAGGTGTGCAAGAGGCAGCTGATAAATGATTCTCTCTCCTCATTGATGTTTCTATCTCCCCCTTTTCCTCTCCCTCCTCTCTGGGATCAATAAAGAAAAGAGGACAACCCACTGAATGGGGGAAGATATTTTCAAATCATACATCCAATAAGGGGCTAGTATTCAAAACTATATAAAGGAATCATGCAGCAATAAAAAGTAAACCCAACTGAAAGTGGACAGAGATTCGGATAGACATTTTTTCAAAAGAAGACATACAGGTGGCCAATAGGTACATGAAAAGATGTTCAACATCACTATTTATTAGGGAACTTCAAATCTAAACCTGTAGAATGGCTATTATAAAAATATAAGTAATAATAAATGTTGGGGAGAACGTGGAGAAAATATGACCCTTGTATACTGTTGGTAGGACTGTAAGTTGAATCAGCCACATGGAAAACTGTATGGAGGTTCCTCAAAATATTAAGAATAGAACTACCACATAATCCAGCTATTATTCTACTTCTGGATATGTACATGAAGAAAATATGAAAACACTCATTTGAAAAGATATATACACCCCTGTATTCATGCAGCACTGCTTACAGTAGTCATGATATAGAAGCAACTTCAGTGTCCAACAATGAATGGAGAGATACACTGTGGTTACATATACATGAAATACTGTTTGATAATAAAAAAAAATAATGAAATCTTGCCATTTTTGACAAAATGGATAGGCCTTAAAGGTGTAATGTGAAATAAGTCAGAAAGAGAAAGAGAAATAATATGTGACTTCACTCATGTGAAAATTTAAAAAAAGAAGAAAGAAAGAAAGAAAGAAAGAAAGAAAGAAAGAAAGAAAGAAAGAGAAAGAAAGAAAGAAAGAAAGAAAGAAAGAAACCTAGTAGATGTCGAGGACAGATGGGCGGTGACCAGAGTTATGGGGTAGGACAGGTGATGGGGTCACAGGGGCCCATGGGATGGAAATGGAGAGTAACTAGGCTTTTGGGGGTGATCGCTCTTCAGTGTCTACACGTGTTGAATTATAATGTTGTATATGTAAAATTTACATAATAATATTTTTAAAGAGATATTGTTGTATAACATTAGCAAAAGTCAGAATATATTGCAAGTAATGTTCCCAGCGTAATAGCCTTGTTGGAGATTCTAACCAACGTCCGAATAAAGGTATTTCCGTAAAAGATATGGCCATGAAATTCACATGTGAGTCCCGCACAAGCAAATAGGAGAGCCACTCATAACGACTGGCCTGGCGAGCTTCCGAGTTGACTGGGAGTATGTCTATTCCTTTCATTCTTGAAGTCAGTAAAATCTGATTAAAACACTAGTGAAGTGCAGAAACGGAAAGCTAATGTTCTCCAAACATTGTGGGAGGTTCTTCGTTAAAATCCTCCCAGACGCCTTGTTAAAATGCAGGCCATCTTCCCTGAGCCCAGGCCGAAGGGTTACGCAGGAGAGAAACATTGAGTGGGGATGGCAGGGCTCCCCCGTCTTTCCCACCCTCCCTCCCTCCCTCCCTCCCACGCTTCCTGGCGCTGTGCGGGGGAGGGCCTCACACCTGGCTCTCCGCCTTTTCAGAAGGAAGAGCCGGAGCCCGGCGAGCCGATCCACCACCTCATCCACAGGATCATGAGCACATCGTCCTACAACCAGGAGGACCTGGGCTTGCCGGCCAGGTACACGGCCGCCGAGCAGCAGGGGGGCCAGGGGAGGGCATCAGGAGAAGGGCCTGGTGGCATGCAATGGCGCCACTGCTCAGCCCAGGCCTTCCCTCGGGCGCCTTCCTCCGGGGCTCCCCCGGTGGGTGCCTGCAAAGCCTCCCCTCCCCACATGACCCCCATTCCTGGGGGTGGGGGGAGGATGGCTAAAAGGGGGTACACACAGCCATGAGACCCTGGCTCAGCCTGTAACAGGGAGGCGATTCTGGGGCACGCTACAACACACGTGACCTTGAAGACACGGTGCTAAGTTGGTCACAGAAGGACAGACACCACATGATCCCACGTCTATGGGATACTCCATGGCCAACCAGGAGGCGGGGAGTAGAAGAGTGGGTCCAGGGGTGAGGCCAGAGAAGAGTGGGTGCCAGGGACAGGGGGCGGGGTGCCAGTTGGGGAAGATGGAAACGTCCTGGAGAGGATGGATGACGGCTGCCCAGCGTGGGGATGTGCGCAAGCACAGAGCCGTCCCCTCCCCGCCGGTCAAGGTGTCACACGGCGTGTGGTGTGGAAAGTGGGGAGGAAAGTCCATGTAGAAATCATAGCTGTCCGCTGGGAAACGCAGGCGTGTGGAGGTCAAGTTCGCTTCCACGGGAAGAGCGGCCGCCACGTGTCCTCCTGCTGAGTGACCCCTCCTCCCATTGGATGGGCAGACCATGGAACGCTCCTTTTCCTTTGCTTTCAGTGAGACCAAGGCCAGTGCCCCGGACACTCCTGCTAATGCCCCAGGCACACCTGATAATTCCCCGGGCACGCCTGCTAAAGCACCAGAAGGTGAGATTCATTTTTTAAAAATATATTTTATTGATATTTTACAGAGAGGTAGGAAGAGGGATAGAAAGCTAGAAACATCAATGAGAGAGAAACATGGACCAACTACCTCCTGCACACCCCTTACTGGGGATGTGCCCACAACCAAGGTACATGCCCTTGACCAGAATTGAACCTGGGACCCTTGAGTCTGCAGCCGATGCTCTATCCACTGAGCCAAACCGGTTTCGGCGTGAGATTCATTTTTTCACTTAAATTAGAAAGTATTCCAAAGAGGACTTTGTTTACCGCTTTGATAAATAGTTTAGTTATCAAATCTAAGGTTGATCATTTTTTTTTAAATTTCTCTTTATAGTTGGAAGTATTCCAGATGTCCCATTTTTCCCCACTGACCACCATCCACCCCACACTGGCCCCTCCCAGGCCGCCACCACCCTGTGCCCGTGTCCATGGGCTGTGCATATGTGCACATGAGCTCCGGGTTTGTTTTGGGTGTGTTTGTTTGTTTTTCTGTGAACTTGAACTACTTCTGGGAATAGGATCCTACATCCATCAGGGTGTTCAAATGAGCCAGTTAGCTTGTCTCGTCTGAACTGCTATTACATTTCCTTAATTTCTACGAAGAATATGGCATTCAATGAATTGCTATTTACCAGGCGCCTGGGAGACATAGCCACAAAATAAGGGTATGTCACTCCAAAGTTTCTATCCGACCCAGAACCCATGACGCTAGGATTTAACAATTTTTTGAGAGGTTATTCTTCCTGTGGCTTAGCCCTACAAAAAATGTACCCACAAAAAAGAGGGGTGAGGGGCTTTTAGAGCTACATTTATTTGCTGACATCATAATCTAACTAGAATGGCACTCACTTTTTTTCCAAAAAAAATGTATTTTTTATTGATTTCAGAGAGGAAGGGAAAGGGAGAGAGAAAAACATCAATGATGAGATAGAATCATGGATCAGCTGCCTCCTGCACGCCCCCCACTGGGGATGGAGCCTGAAACCCGGGCCTGTGCCCTGACCAGGAATCAAACTCTGACCTCCTGGCTCACAGGTTGATGCTCACCCCTGAGCCACGCCGGCGGGCTTAATGCCTGTCTGCTCTCCCGGGACCGCTCTGAACCAGGCCCCCTCACTGCACACAGCTGAGAGCTCGTTCCCGGGGAGCTCAGCTCACCAGGCTTTGGGGGAGTTTTCTGCTGGGAGAGGAAAGGCGTTCTTTGCACCTGAGGGTTCAGGAGGGGGAAGGGTGCTAGGAAGATTCCGGGAGCTGGACCAGAGCCCACCGAGGCCCCTCTCCGCTCTCTGAGCCCACAGTGTCCACTCTCCGCTCTCTGAGCCCACAGTGTCCACTCTCCGCTCTCTGAGCCCACAGTGTCCACTCTCCGCTCTCTGAGCCCACAGTGTCCACTCTCCGCTCTCTGAGCCCACAGTGTCCACTCTCCGCTCTCTGAGCCCACAGTGTCCACTCTCCGCTCTCTGAGCCCACGGTGTCCACTCTCCGCTCTCTGAGCCCACAGTGTCCACTCTCCGCTCTCTGAGCCCATGGTGTCCACTCTCCGCTCTCTGAGCCCACAGTGTCCACTCTCCGCTCTCTGAGCCCACGGTGTCCACTCTCCGCTCTCTGAGCCCACGGTGTCCACTCTCCGCTCTCTGAGCCCATGGTGTCCACTCCGCTCTCTGAGCCCACAGTGTCCACTCTCCGCTCTCTGAGCCCACGGTGTCCACTCTCCGCTCTCTGAGCCCACGGTGTCCACTCTCCGCTCTCTGAGCCCACGGTGTCCACTCTCCGCTCTCTGAGCCCATGGTGTCCACTCTCCGCTCTCTGAGCCCATGGTGTCCACTCTCCGCTCTCTGAGCCCATGGTGTCCACTCTCCGCTCTCTGAGCCCATGGTGTCCACTCCGCTCTCTGAGCCCACGGTGTCCACTCTCCGCTCTCTGAGCCCACGGTGTCCACTCCGCTCTCTGAGCCCACAGTGTCCACTCTCCGCTCTCTGAGCCCACAGTGTCCACTCTCCGCTCTCTGAGCCCACGGTGTCCACTCTCCGCTCTCTGAGCCCATGGTGTCCACTCCGCTCTCTGAGCCCACGGTGTCCACTCTCCGCTCTCTGAGCCCATGGTGTCCACTCTCCGCTCTCTGAGCCCACAGTGTCCACTCTCCGCTCTCTGAGCCCACGGTGTCCACTCTCCGCTCTCTGAGCCCACAGTGTCCACTCTCCGCTCTCTGAGCCCAGTGTCCACTCTCCGCTCTCTGAGCCCACGGTGTCCACTCTCCGCTCTCTGAGCCCACAGTGTCCACTCTCCGCTCTCTGAGCCCAGTGTCCACTCTCCGCTCTCTGAGCCCACAGTGTCCACTCTCCGCTCTCTGAGCCCATGGTGTCCACTCTCCGCTCTCTGAGCCCACGGTGTCCACTCCGCTCTCTGAGCCCACGGTGTCCACTCTCCGCTCTCTGAGCCCATGGTGTCCACTCCGCTCTCTGAGCCCACGGTGTCCACTCCGCTCTCTGAGCCCACGGTGTCCACTCTCCGCTCTCTGAGCCCACGGTGTCCACTCTCCGCTCTCTGAGCCCACGGTGTCCACTCCGCTCTCTGAGCCCACGGTGTCCACTCCGCTCTCTGAGCCCACGGTGTCCACTCTCCGCTCTCTGAGCCCACGGTGTCCACTCTCCGCTCTCTGAGCCCACAGTGTCCACTCTCCGCTCTCTGAGCCCACGGTGTCCACTCTCCGCTCTCTGAGCCCACGGTGTCCACTCTCCGCTCTCTGAGCCCAGAGTGTCCACTCTCCACTCTCTGAGCCCATGGTGTCCACTCCGCTCTCTGAGCCCATGGTGTCCACTCCGCTCTCTGAGCCCAGTGTCCACTCTCCGCTCTCTGAGCCCACGGTGTCCACTCTCCGCTCTCTGAGCCCACAGTGTCCACTCTCCGCTCTCTGAGCCCACGGTGTCCACTCTCCGCTCTCTGAGCCCACGGTGTCCACTCTCCGCTCTCTGAGCCCACGGTGTCCACTCTCCGCTCTCTGAGCCCACGGTGTCCACTCTCCGCTCTCTGAGCCCATGGTGTCGACTCTCCGCTCTCTGAGCCCACGGTGTCCACTCTCCGCTCTCTGAGCCCACAGTGTCCACTCTCTGCTCTTTGAGCCCACGGTGTCCACTCTCCGCTCTCTGAGCCCAGCAGGGCACTGGACCCGTCAGGAGTCAGTGTCCAAGACGGAGACCTCACTCCTCCTGTTTCCTCCCAGAAAAACCGCCTGAGAGTGGCTTTGCCGCCCACCTGGGGCGGTCAGTGCCCGTGTGTGAGTTCTAACCGCCGCCTGAGAGACGGCCACCCTGCCCTTCTCTGTCCACAGGAGCGCCGCGGCCCAGCGCATCCAAGCAGGGCTCCGGGGTGCTGGCCCGCGTCACGTCGGCGCTGTCCAAGGTGTTCTCCCGCAGCAGCAGCAGCAGCAGCAGCGCCTCCAAGGCCGCGGCCCCCGCCCAGCGCTGAGCCTTTTGTACCCAGACCTCTATCCTCACTTCCCGTTGAAAATAAATGATTTTTGAAGCATAGCCTCGTGTGCTGAGACGGTGTGTGCTACACGGGGCCATGGTGGAGAGCCGGAGGAAGGAGGTGGAGCCTGGGGGAGAGGGGGCGGGGAGGGGGCCCGGGGTCTGAGGAGGGGACGCTGCTACCACCCGGGGCCACGGGAGGAAGAGACGGGACGTGCCCACTGGCACGCTCAGCCCAGGTACAGCCGGAAGCGGACCTGAAGTTCTTTCTGTTAAATGTTAGAGGTGTTTGTATCAAAATGGGTAACCAATCAAGATGACACTGGAGCTGGAGTCTACCACGCCGCTATACACCCGATTGGTTCGCTGTCCTGTGTATTTGGATGTTGAGATCGGAGTGTTTGTACCGAACAGAGGAAGCCAGGTCTCCCACCTGCAGAGAGCATGTCATCCTTCTGTAAGATACCTCCCAGGCAGCCAGACCCGACTGTGGCTACAGCACCGCAGAGAAGTAAATAACAACTCGGTATAAAATACTAGAATGCATAAAGTGACCCCTGCAATGACAGATACCCTTTGCAGACACACTATCTTTGTGGACAAAACGCCATCAGCAAATCATGGGCCAGTGAAATTATTGAAGCCTTATGTAAATATTTCAACATGAAAATAGATAGCAAGGCTCCATTTATAAAAATAAAAAGTAGAAAGAAATTTAACAAGATGGATAAGCTGATACAGTGATCAAGAGCCCTAGCTGGTTTGGCTCAGTGGGTAGAGTGTCAGCCTGTGGACTGAAGGGTCCCGGGTCCAATTCTGGTCAGGGGTATGTACCTTGGTTTTGGGCTCCTTCCCCATTGCAGGGGAGAAATTTTTCAAAATCAGTTAACATAGCACTTTGTGATTTTAGCATGTTTGCCCCTAAAACCTAAGGACCTTGTTTAAAAGAGCCAAAAAGGTGAATCGGACAGTAAAGAGGACGCACGGCCATTGCTGCCTGCGCTGCGCTGGCTCGAGAATTTTAAGAAGTGTGGTCCCTCTTTCAGATCTAAAATGGTCTTGGTAGGAGCCAGTGCTAGAAACTGAAGCACCTGAGAAAATTCTCTTTTACCAAATTGCATTTCCTTTAACAAAGTCAGCTGGTGAGGGTGGGACAGGACGCTCCAGAGAAGAAGATGTGATTATAATAGTAAGACGTTTACATTCCAATGAAATGAAGTTATTCAATTAGTCATTTGGTCAATTCACAATAATCCCATACTTCATTTAACACTGAATTCTATTCTTCTCTCAGACAACCGTCAATCCTCTTCTTTTCTAATTTTTATTTTTATTTTTTAATTTCTTTATTGATTAAGGTATCACATATTTGTCCTCAATCCCCATTCCAATCACCCTCTACTCATACCTCCCACCCCCTATTGTCCTTGACCACTGGCTAGGCTCTTATGGATGCATACAAGTCCTTTGGTTGATCTCTCCCTTTTATCCCCACCCTCCCTCTGAGGTCCAACAGTCTGACCCATGGCTCCTTATCTCTGGGTCTGTTCTTGTTCATCAGTCTGTGTTGTTCACCATTTCCCCTAGATGAATGAGATCATGTCCTACTGGAAATATACTTATAAGATTAAAAAAATGAGACAAGCAATAGTTGTTATGCTGAGAGGCATATGAATCAGTCTGTAGTGAGTTTCTTTCTGGGCCACCAGTTCTTTTGAAACCCAAATTCAATGTCAAACAGTTCCTTATGTGTACATGTCAGCAATGATATTTCAGTTCTGGATGGTGGGCAAATGGTGGTGATGCAGGTGCAACCCTCTCTGCTTTGGTCCTGGGCAACCTACAGTGATACACAGCTGCTGACTGCTAGTATGGTAAGGTATCATCAGCGACTTCCATCTCTGGACTGCTTCTCTTCTGTCTTCATGGTTGGAGTAGTCCTGTCAATTCCTCTCTGTTGCCAGAATCCACATGGTCTCAAAGTTGTTTTCTGAAAATATACAAACATATTCTCGACCAAAAGTTAATAAAGGAATATTTTCTATAAATTTGACTTGGGATCCTTTTTCATTTTTTGTCCAAATGGTTTTCCTCTGGCTCGTTTTGACACCATGTGTGTTTTTCATGAGTGTCTTGCTGATAGCATTACAATTAATTTTCTAAAGTACAAATTTTCTAGATGTAATTTACTTTCAGGATATTTTTTCTTACATTATATTCTTCTACTTTCCCCCTTTTTTTATTTAAATATTAGGAGGCTCTTGAAAATTTCATAATGTAGTCTTGATGGCTTTAAATTTAAATTTTTTGCACTATAATATGACTGCTTTAGGTTCATTTCCTGTTGTGAGATTTTTATCCTGAGATGAACTAACAATTAAAATTTTAGTTAACACTTTAGGAACAGCTTTTTGACCAGTGCAATTAGTTTTTCTAGGATATTCGCTTATTTCAATTAGCCAATTTAAATTTAGCCTGAAAACTTATCTATTTTACTGTCAAATGTATTACTCTAAAACAATCTTATTTTACTGTGTAAATATTAAGGGAAAGGATTATTTTACCTCTTGAGTAGGCCCTGAGCATTCCTAGTGGTAGGCTGGATTTAGATATCAAAAACCCACTTCCCCACACCATGTTTACAAGACAACTCAAACAAGTCTTGTTGCAGTGAGAGGACAACTGCTGTCAGCCAAGTCTCTGTCTTTTACCCGGGTGCTGATTTGAACTGGGCATGGGAAGTTAAGCAGCCATGGGGGCAGGAGACTCCCTCAGCAGGGGTGAGGTTTCAGGCCCCTGCAAAGTTTTGGGGGTGAGAGTCTATCCCACCTCAGTTGACTCCCAAGTTCTCTCCTGATGGCCCCTCTGCGACTGTGCCTGCCTTAGGATGTTCCTTCCCTGAGGAATCTTACCCGGCTCTGGCTAACCAGCCATCCTCCGAGGCCAAGCAGAGTGATGTGAGGTTCAGTTCTGTCTCCTGGTATCCTATGCCCCCGTGGCCATGTCCAGCTCTTGCCTTAGAATCCCCTCGCCTGCTGGCGGGGCCCCAGCATTGATCACATATCTTGGGGAACCCAGGTTTCTGTTTAGTCATTGTTTTTCTTCTTGGTTGTTGTTAGTCCTCCCCTGAGGACATTTTTCCATTGGTTTTTAGAGAGAGTGGAAGGGAGGGGGAGAGACAGAGAGAGAGAAACATCGATGTGAGAGACAGACACATGGATTGGTTGCCTCCCACAGGAGCCCTGACCAGAGCCCACAACTGAGGCCCATGCCCTTGACTGGAATCAAACCCGGGACCTTTCAATGCACAGGCCGACCCTCTACCCACAGAACCAAACTGGATAAGGCCTGTTGAGTCACTTAAGATAAAATATATTTTATCTTCTGCTTTACGCCCAGAATTGTTCCATAAAACATAGACTTAGAAATATAAGTTCAAAGGCTGTGCCTTTAAGGTCTTGTAAAATAACGTCTGTGACTCAGAGTGCTGCCAGCACTCACAGGGCAGGAGGGAAGGATGGCTTTCAGCCTCGCTGCACATCTGGGCGAGGCTTCACAAACAAAGATGTGCAAACACACTATGTGTCCCATCGATAGGCGGCGAAGCACACCATCAGTCTACATGGGATTCATGCAGAATTGCTATGCCTTGTTTTTCACAAACCACAGAGTAATGTTGGTGAGACCCAATACTCTCACATAACACGTGGTAAGGGGCCTTGGGAGGTTTTTTAAAGGGGAAGTGATACTTTGGGGGAAATAATTTAGCAACAATCTGTAGAACTAATACAAGATGACCAAGGCTTTGTCTTGGCCTGTGGCTCAGCTGGTTGGAGGGTCGTCCTACATGAAAAGGACGCAGGTTCGAGTCCCCGGCAGGACACATGCCTAGGCTGTGGGTGGGTGGGACACAGACAGAAGAATGTTTCCTCTTCTCTTTCTCTCTCTCTCTCTCTCTCTCTCTCTCTCTCTCTCTCTCTCTCCCAGACCCTCCCTCTCTCATCTTTCTCTCTAAAATCAATGAAAGCATATACTCAGGTGAGGATTTTTTTTTAAAAAAGTATGCCCTTTAAATATTTTGTTTGAATTCTTTTAGTGTTGTATTTATTCTGTATCTGGCCTTATTTTTTTTTTATAAATCCAATCTACTTAAATTCTCTTTAAGCCTTATTCTTTTCCATTTTTGCTTTTAACTTAATATTGGAAGACATTGTAACTTCAAATAAAAATTAAAAAGTTTAAAAAAAAAAAAAATGTAGGAAGTACGAGTTGCGGCATAGAAACCGAAGCTCTGACCCAAAGGAAGTTCCGCCCTCGGATGACAGCGACGTGGGCAGCGCCCATGTGACATGTGACAGGTGCCCCACCTCCTTCCAGGGCCCGTTGGCACCAAAAGGCCTCACATGGTCTGGTCTCCGGATGAGGCGGATGAGGGATGAGCCGGGAGCCCGAGGCAGCACCCTCCCTCCTGCCGCCCCTCCAGGGTCCGGGCCATGCTCAGCGGCCATCACTGAGTCCCCGGCCATCGAGGCGGAGGCGGAGGCAGAGGCGGTGGCCTCTCCTCTCCATCACCTGGTGGTGAGCAGCCCACCAGGACCTGGTGCGGAGGCCGCTCTGACGTGACGCCGGGGGAAGAAAGGAGAGAGAGGCACACAGCCGCCGCTGATGGTGGCTCCCACTCTCACCCGTGAGCCGAGGGCCGCCGGAGAGGGTCCCGGAGCTGTCAGAGCCGCCGGTTCCCCCTGAAGCGATGGAGCAGCCCGGGGAGGCGGCAGCGCCCCGGATCCCCGAAGGGCTGACACAGCTCCCGTGCGCTCCACGCTGGGGCCCTCTGTCCGGAGCGCGGTGATGCTGTGGCTGCTGTGGTTTCCCTGCTTTTCTACAAACCGTCCCATCGCCTGTGCCCCAGCCAGGCGTCCCCGAGGGCCCGGAACCACAGGTCCCCGTGAGGCCCGGCCCTGCCCCTGGGGAGGTGTTCGTGGGGACTTTTTTCTAAAT